CGTCTAAAGTCGTTGTCTGACACCCCTGACCCCGTGCCCACTTCCCACTGCCCCAGCGCTCTCCCATCATCAGCCGTCAGGCATCACCCATCACCCACCAGCCACCATCTACCACACCCACCGACTGCCGGCAAACAAGCGTGACCTGCCACGCAGCAGACCGACTTTGACGCACAGAAGCTACACTTCGAGAAAATTGTCAGTTCTTCAAGATCAAAAAAGGTAAGAACTTGTTTTGGACCCTTCTTGGCTGAGACTTTTAGTCAGATATTTCTGATCTAGAACACTTCAAATTTTTCCCCTCTTTTTCTGGATCTCTGTTACTTTATCCTCCTCCAACTTTTAAGAAATATAGATCTAAAGCTTTTATTTTAGTGCACCTTTGGTAGTGGGGCGAAAAGTGGGGAGCTCGCAGCTGTGGGATTCGAACTCGGGCTTGAGCCTGGGCGCCAGAGCCAATAGTCAGTCATCAAGGCTGTTTGCGGTCTGCTTTTCAGGGCGCTGTCTGGCTGTATGTGTCTGGATTATATATACACACACACATTCTCGTGTGGGAATAAACACCCATGTAAATGTAAAAATGTGTAAGAGCATTTGTAAAGCATGAAAACAAAAAAAAAAAAAAACGGAATGAAAAGAAAAGAAAAGGAAAAGCAACAACCAGCTACCCAAAAAAAGGTTCAACTGGCGACCGTCAGAAAAATATTTTATGGTTTCGCTTTTGGCACCTCTCTCTCTCTCTCTCTCTCTCTTTACCTCCAACGCACACCTCCGACATCGCTTTTCCATATTGATTTGCCACTTTTACACATTTTCCAGAAAACCGCTTCGCTACAAGAAAGGAATTTATAGAAACGACGGAGGCGCCGCCATCCAGTGGTAATTGCGAAATAATTGCCGAGACGTTGGAAAAGTTGTCTCCCCCTTGCCATTCTTTTGGGGCGTGGCGGCGTCTTTAAGTTGTTGACTTCGAGTTCAAACACAAATCCGCAAACATTCGTGCCGGCTTCCCCCAGCTCCCCTTGGCCATTAATTGGTGGCGTGTTAGGAAGTTAAGCTCCTGCTGCTGCTGTTCCTCTGCTTCACTGAGTCCTGTCATTACCCCCGGAGCTAGATGTCGGAGCGTAGCAAGTAATACGTTGGCAAATACCCACATCCACTCGGTCGCTGGGGGAACACCCACACCCACACCCACATCCGCCCACTCAGATGGAGGCAAGCTAAGTGTACATTCAGCTGTCTGTCGCTGACGCCACTTAAATACATGCGCATACAAACACAACAAAAATCCTGGCACAGTGGGATGAACAGAAGGATGAAGAAGTCCTTTGAAAAAGGACAACACACGCTCTTCATTTGATAGAAAAGCAGGAAGGCAACCAATTACTTCAATACTTAACAGGAACTGCACATAAATAGTAATTTTTAAAAAGTTTCCAAGGAATCTAATAGATAAGTCAGTAGATATCATTAATTTGAAAAAGATCAATGAATCAGAACCAATTAAATCAATTTCATTAATTAGAAAATAAATAGATAAAGCTTAACATATTTTTTAAGTTTACTGTTTGCTAATTATGCAGAAAACTGTCCCAAAGATTATGAATAACAAAACAGCTCTTAGCTCTTTCGGGGTTAAAATAATATCTATGGCAATAAAGAAAAGCTGAGACCCTTATAACACATCCCTTTCACTGTCGGTATGGACAACCAATCAATGATTACAATCAGTAGCTGTTTACTCCATGGATTCGCAACCGAAAATCTCCCAAAATCCCTCCCAGCATCTCGATGTCTGGGTCCTCAAAGTGAAATATTTAGCTTAATGAAGCAACGACTGCGTTTCCTGCCTCAGCCAATTTAGTGTGAGTGTGTAATTCTTTAGCTATTATGGCTACCCGGCAACCAACCGCCATAGTCATTCATTTCCCTGTGCCCCCAGCCACATTTTCTGCTTCCTGGCTTTATGTGAACCCTCCACGGTTTCACCTTCAGCCTTGGAGTCGCGGCACCTGTGACAGACGCTGGGTGGTTGTTATGGCATGCGTTGGCTCTGCTGGGTTATTTTCCCCCGGGCATAAAAAGTTACGCACGGACCAGGCGGATTACCTCCCAATCCTTAGTGGGTCGGTGCTTTCAACGTTTATCTCTGCCGAGGTGGTGCCGGCAATCAGAGTTACCCATACCTATACCTTAACATACTCATACACATATACACATACAACCCACCATCATTTCCGCAATACTGCTCCACCACTTTGGCAACAAAATGTCCCACAATTACCACTGAGGCCACATCCACATCTAACGAAGCCGATGATGATTCCTATGACAATTTTCTATAGCTGGCAAGTGGCAACTGCTCAACGACTCAACGTCTGCCCCCTGAACCCGAAACCCAGAAAACCGTATCCCCTCTCACCGTATCCAACGGACAATCAGACATTGCCACCGCCACTCGTTGGGGCAGTGAGTCGCCACTGTCCGTGTCTCTGTCCGTGTCCTGGTCCTTGTCCGTTTTCATGTCCTTGTCCGCCCGCCCGTCCATTTGTCTGCGACCCCCTTGCTAGCCATTCTCCGGCCCGTTATCATGTCTCCAGTTTCAAAGTTTTCTCATGTAACCAGGCATTTCGGAGCAAGGGGCAGCTGAGGGAGATGCCAAAGGGGCGGCCAGCAGACGGTCGCACGTAACGGATGAATGGGCGGACGAGGAGCCACCACACCATGCCAATCGCACACAGACACTGGCACCACAGGAGCGGCATTGCGGCTAAAAAGCCATACTATGTCGGTCCTTGCCCGGCAAAAGCAGAAGGCTTCAAGGCAACCAGAACGTAGAACTATCCAAAGCACAGGCATGGAATGCCTAAATACGACCAGGCTGCAACAATGGAATTATCAAATGGGTTTGGTATTGCTAACAACAAAAGGCAACATTATTTTGGTATGTCTTCCTACTGCCAACGTGTAAGTCTCTTTGTGATTAGTAAGTAAGTAATATGGTTAAGCTTTTCTTAAATTTTATACCAGAAAATAGTTTAACTTTCCTAACATTATAGTAACATTTAGAATATACTTGATATTAAAGCCTTTTTTCAATATTTTGGAATACTAAAAAGTAAATATTTTATAGTTTGAAATAAATAAAAATGTCAACAGATTTCTGGGCTAGCCATGTGTACAATTAGATGTCCAAATTAAGTGGTTCCTCACTAATCGACCCAAGATTTGGCCTGATAATGGGTAAGTCATCCACATCCACGCTCCAGACGACACTTGCCAAGCTCCATGGAAATGGAGAGCAACTGCTGCTGAAGCGCCTCGCCCACATGCCCATCCAAATCCCCGCAAAACAGCACAAAGACCAACACAACACAACAAACCACCCACTCAACACCCACCACCCACCACCCACGGCCACAACAATAAGGCGTAAGCTCAGACTCGACCTCTGTCTGAGTGTGGACTTGGGAGTGGGTATCTATGTGCGAAATCAGCCAACTCAGAGGCAACGGCAAAAGGAAAGGCAAAAGCAAGCTGCCGCCGCCTGTTCGTCTGGCTTCCGTTTGGAGTTGCCTGCAATTATTCCGTTAGTGTTGGGTCACCCACCCACTTAGCCGCCCATCCAAACACCCAACCACCTATCCAACAAAATATCCATCCAAATACCCAACCCACTAATCCCCGCCCTTGTGAAAAAGGCGCGTCCGCATCGCTCGTTACTCACACCAACAAGTGCAGCTGCTGTTTTCCTTGGGGCCCAAAGTCGTCCTGTTGCCGCTGCCGTTGCTGTTTTTGTCGACACTTTTTTCACGGCTTGCTCGCTTGGCTGCTCTTTCGTGCGTTGCCACTGCCACTGGAGTTCCAGCCTCGGTACCAGTCCCCCAGTCCCCAATGCAAGCCAACCAAACCAACTAAACCAACCGAATCAAGCCACCCAGCCACCCATTTCCTAGCCCCCAGAAACTCGCAACCTGCCAAACCAAACCAACCGCATCGCCGCCCAACCCGCAGGTCTTGCTGCTTGTTTTCCTTCTGGGGTTCGTTCCTCCTCATCCTCTACCTCGTTCGCGTCCTCGTCCTTTTTTGCCTGAAAATCAAAACACACGTCTCGGCGTGCGGCGCACATCTGCATGGAATTTCTAAAGTACGTGCCACGGACGAACGGACAGAAAGCAGCCAACGAACGCCAACGTCCTGGCCCGATGCCATCGCAATGCCACAGACGGCAACTTTGGCGTGGTGCTTCAGCCTCGTCCTGCCTTCTGCGTCCGTGCTATGTGCCGTGGCACATTCATGGATTACATAGCTAGCCGTACCAGGAGCAGCCATTCCTATTCCGCCGTCGTCGCCTGTCTGTTTGTATGTATTTGGCGGCATGGCGGCGAGAGCGTGAACCGAAACATGCAGAACCTTTAGTGAAAAGATACACTGAGACCAATTTGGGTGTATTTAGTATTTGATATTTTCCCGAAATCAAAATTCAGGTATTAAAATTTTTTACTAATAAAAAGTTTATTTTTGGGCTCATTTTTATTTTGTTTTTTGGAAATAAATTTGAAATATTTTTCAAACTTTTTTGTTCTTATATTATATTTTTATTTTATTTTTTTTATATATTTTTACTCCAAATTAGTTTCCAGTGTTAATTTGACACTGGCGTTGCGGACCGCGCGTGCGGTGTTCAGGCTTGGCATTATAATTTCTTGCTCGGCACAGTGGCAACCACACGCACACACTCACCCAACGAGAGGCACACAGACAGTCAGTCGCTGGAACAGGATAAGGCTGAGAAACAGGCAAACTCACACATACAGGGCGCACATTTTAACACTCTCGACAATAAACAGCATGTCACTTAGCTCAAACTTCAAAAGTGCGCCAGTCTGTGCACAGGACTTGGGCTTTGGGGAGGACAAGGTGGTGCTCAGGGATCAGGGTAAGGAAAAGGAAAAGGAAAAGGAAAAGAACGAACACGAGGAGAAGGAGAAGGAGAAGGAGCCATCGCCGCAGTCACCGACATCGTTATGCGAATGCCGCCAGCAGGCTTCCGTGCCGTGCCAAAGTTTTTTTATTTGTCATCCTCGTTGGCGGCGACAACGGCGAAATTTCCACCAGAAGGCAGTTTGGGTGGTCGCTGATGGGCGATAATAAACAGACCCAGACCAGACCACACCCACTGCCCTACACTCTCACCTACGACCAACCACACCCGCTGATAGACGGGCCAAGGCGCAACGGCATGAAAAAGGCGCTGGCTGAAGTGTGTCTCCTGGTACTCGAGAGCATCGTCAGGAACAGGCGCTTGTTGATATTGCCTCACAGTGTGGCATTAATTGGGGCTACTCCAAGTCGGATAAAGCCATACCTGGAGCTACCGTCGGAATATGATTATACCCAGAAAACAATCAAAAAAAAAATAGTCATTGCAAGAAGGTACCTTAAAACTGAAAAAGTTTGCCATTCTGAAAAATAGGCACAAATCCAGTTCAGACTTTACACCTACCAGGTCTGTAGCGATTTCTGATAAGCAAAGAAATGATATTTCTTCAAGGATCTTAGAACGATTTATTATATAATATAAAAATAGGTAGATTTATTTAATATTTTGCCACAAATCTTGATTCATTTCTTTTTATTACCTTCTTTTGAAAAATACAAAATATGAATATTCAAGTTGTTTTCTGATTTCATTTTTAATTCCATTTAAAAGCAACTTTAAAAAAATTTTTAAGTATTTATTTTGAATATGTTTATATTACCTATCATCTTCAGCGACCTGATAGTCCAGAAATACTTCAATATGCCCCACTGTACGTGTAAGCGGTTTGATTGTCATGGCAATTCGAAAGCATTTGTCGGTCGCTCGCCCCTCATCACACATTTTTGGGATGGAGGCAACGACAACTCGACGCAGACACAGAATCCCACATACCAGTGAAGTTCTACTCCGACAAATACCATTCCCCATCGTCCTGAATCGCCCTCTGCGCCCTCATCCTGTGAGCCAGCACAGCAGCAACATCAGCAACGATGGAGGGCAACAGCAACATCGACATCGGCACGGCAGCAACAGCACGGCAGCAACATCAGCCACTTGCCACATTTGGCTTTCTGCCAGTACCAGACTCCAGGACTCGTGCAGTGGGTGGTGGACTCAGGGTGGGTGTGGCAACTCGACGGCAACAACAAGGACATTCTACAGCAGCAACGACAGTGGCAGCAGCAGCAGCAACAGCAGCAACTAAAAATGCGACGTGCGAGATTATCGTGTCGCTTGTTGGTCGTCGTCCCCGTCCATAGTCCGTAGTCTGTAGTCCCAAACCCACACACACACACACAGACACACGCTCTACGGCTGTTGGTGTTTCTGTGGCTGCGCACAAACTCCCCTGCCACTCCGTCTATCCATGCACCCTGGAACCTGGCCATCACCCCGCCCACTGCCTGCTCCTCCGCCTCTTCGATAGCGACACCATCACCACCAGGCGGCACAACTTACTGGCGCTGACGGAGGCAACTGCTGACTGCTACTTATGGCGCTGATGATGGCACAATGACAACAACAACGATATTCAAAATACATCTAAGGACTAAAAGATACCTAAATATTATAAAAAATATTTTTGTCCAATGAAAGAATTAAAAAAAGTAAAGTAGTAAATAAATAAATGAATTATTTCATAATACAACAGCTAAACGGTGTGTTTGATATTGCATGGCATGCACAAATATACCCTTAGATACCCTACAGTCGAGCACAGCCAGAAAGTATGCACGAGAGGATAACGACTCGACTCGACTCTACTCGACTCGAGGACGAGGACGACAACCAGCCCGACGGAGTGTGCGTGGGCGGGACAAAACCGTAGGAGGGTTCGCCATGATGTGGATGAGGATGTGGCCGTCGGGGTAAGGGATATGTCAGTGTGGATGTGGATGTTAAAGTGGGTGTGGGTGAGCTGTGTGCGACTAATTGGGTGAGAGAATGTGGGTGCTTAAATTGGTTTCGTGCTTTCGTGTGACGCGTGCGGAGGCGTGTAAAGCCTGGCATGTTGCTGTGTAAGTGTGCCTCGTTGTGGGTGGTTGAGGGTGGGTGTCTGCGTGCCCATGAGTGTGTGTAAGTGTGCAGGCGACAGGCTGCTCTGCGGGTCCTGCTCCTCCTCCTACTTCTTGTTGTTGTTGCTGTTGGCATGAATGCTTGATGGCGTGACGGCAGCCGGTTGTTGCCAGCAATCGAAACGAACTCAGGAAAAAGCATGGGGAAATGCAGTGCTGGAGACCGAATACTGGAATTCACTTAAAAAACAGAAATTATATTACTATTCTTTTTGCATAGGAATGCTCGAGCTGGTCTCAATTTTCCATAAACTTGAAAATTAAAAGAAGATAAAAAATGATAATCTTGAAATGATCCTTTTAAATCGATAGGCAAAAGCAGACAACACTTTGAAAGAGTACACAAACACAATTTACCCCGCCTGGATGTGGATTTTATTTTTGCGTGCTTTTTCCAGCACAGCAATGCCCGGCTCACAATTTCAGTTCTGTGCTTGGGATTTGTGAGCTCGTCCGTGCAAGGACTTTTCACCCGGTCATCCCCCGCTGGCGCAGCTTGTTTATGTCACTTTTTTTTTATGCTGTCCGCATGGAAGACTCGACTCCTTTAGTGCATCGAAGACCTATGCGAGGCGACACTGCTTCGTCGGGATTCATCTAGAGCGCGGTTGTCCTGGATGAGGATCATCGTATGCTCGTTCTCAGTGGCCACCATAAACTCCTGCCGATGGGTGCGCAACCGCACGTAACTCAGTTCATCGTTGTCTGCTAGGTCATGAACCATGGAGCGGGCCAAAGTCACCAACGGTCTCATCCTGTTGGCGTACAACTTAGCGACATTGGCATCCAAATTGGTCCGAACAGGCACCCCATTGCCGTCGATCAGGATGGCCCCAACCACACCCGGCAGTTGAACCAGCCGATCGAACGTGCTCTGCACATTGCTGGATGTCATGCCTTCCAGAACTAGGTGGATAAGGAGCTTGCTTTTGGAGTTTTGAATTTTGTGTTTGTGTTGAGTAAAAAATGTCTGGTTATTTTTATGTCATTTTAAATGTAATTTTTTTTTGTAATTTGAGTATTATTTCCGGTTTCGGGTTCTATTCATTTGATTGATTTGATTTGTTACTAGTTAGTTGATAATGACAAATTAAATGATATCTGATACTGGTGGATGTACACGTATTTATGATTATAATAAAATGTTGCCAAAATTTAAACTTGTTTGAATTTTAGAAAATCTTGGATGGTCATACTTGCTCCTAATATCTACGTGTAACTTTAACAACCTGCTTAAATCACGTAAGATACCGCAGGGATATGATATAAGTCAATCCACTAATATAGTCTTTTATTATATACTCGTATAGGGGACCTCTAACCACCCCCTGTTCATGGGCATTTCGCAACTTCATTTCATCGGGACTTGCAGTTATTTTCGCCGAGGGAGTTCAGATCTCCCCCGTGGTTATTGGCAAGGACAAACAACCATCCAACCAACCAGCCAGCTAGTGAAAGAATTTCTGGACTCTATGTCAAAGGTTGAGCCTTACAGCACGATTCGTCTGGGGTGAAAGGGGACGGGGACAAGCGAGCCCAGACGAGGCGCCATAACCCACGGTGGTGCAGGCGGCAACGGCAATCATTCCAGGCAGCATGCGGCCACGGCTGACAACGACAGCGGAGTGGGGGGGTGAGTCACGTAAATGGCGTTGAATTACAGCCCGACAATCGAAGCGTTGAAGTCTCGAACTGAAAAGTTTACTCCGACCCAGCCAGCAGCCAGTGCCCACGGCCTGTGCATCATTTATAAGCCGGGCTAGGCCACAGATTGTCTGGAATCGAGTCGAGTGCGCACGCACGCAACGAAGTCGATGATGATGAGCTCAGGACGACCAAACAGGGAACTTTATGACTGTGGGCCATTCGTTGGGATGGGGCGTCATCACGTGCCGGTCTGCGTATGACTCCGGGTGCGGATGCACGGATGGGTTCGGGTTTGGGTCTGGATCCGGGCCAACGCCTACGTCCGCTTCTTTCCGTCCTCCTGATCAACGTTGTATAATTCATTTGGCGTTGCGGACCCTTTTGCCGTGCGGAACTATTTATTCAATAATTCGACGTAAAGGCTTGACACGGCAATCCTGAGGTTGGGTAGCCATATAGCGACTGAGTCTTTTCCAAACACGCAGCTATGGATACTTTAATGCGCACACCAACTGTCAAATATTTTAATTAGCACTGCCAACAATTGAGTTTTAGATCAATTTTGTGAAAACTAATTAATTTTGAATTTGTTGAAGTGCCCTAATTGTTGCTTATTGGTAGCTGTTTATCTATAATTCAAGACATAAATGTATGGGACATGAGTTTTAATATAATAGAAAACCTTGCAAAAAACATATGAAACTATTCTTTAAAATCGGCATATTTAGGTTTAAATTTGGCGCAAGTCCCCACTCCAGACAAAAATAACCGGTTAGCATTAGAGCTGGCAACTTTTTTTTCATAGCAGAGTTGTACACCTTATGAGTGTAAACAACGTTTCATTTAGCACTTTAGCGAAGTTTTCTAAGTACCGACTGTTAGCAATGTTTCATTTAGCGAAGCTACCCTCCTTCTTAAGATATATCGATAAAGACATCGATATTTGTCAAGCAATCCCGATGCAACCCTGTTGGCAAACGTGTTACCTATATCCGCTCGTTCCTCCTCTTTCTTTTTGCCATTGTCAGCCGACGAAGGTGGGTGTTTTTTGTGCCGCCAATTAAAATCATTTAACTAAAAGATTTAATATTTTCAGTGCTCTTTGACTTGAAATATCAACATGGTTGCTGTAAAGAAACAAAAGAAGGCTCTGGAGAGCACCAATGCCCGTCTGGCTCTGGTGATGAAGTCCGGCAAATACTGCCTGGGCTACAAGCAGACTCTGAAGACTCTCCGCCAGGGCAAGGCCAAACTGGTGCTTATCGCCAGCAACACCCCCGCCCTGAGGTGAGATTTGCAATGCGTGCTACAGAGAAGTAGAGATTTCCAATGCCCCCAAATTGCAAAGTTTTTGTTGGAACCATATGGAGTCTGCCTTAAAGCTGACTGAGAAGTATGATTCCGAGCAGAGTATTTGATGGAAACTATGGAGTAGTACAATCAATCAATCTCAAGCTTCGGACTGGTTCGCTTTATATTCGACCGCCTCCACATGGTTCCACCAACAACGAGTGCACCTTATTTGGGGTAAGAAGTCGTCAACACTTTATATTAAATGTATTCCCACTATGATGATCCTATCGATTCCGAATGCCTTGACGAATCCTTTTTTACTAGAGACTCTTTCTGACTAAAACCAGCAGAAAGAATTTCTTTTCACAACTTTCACACATTGTTACTAATTAAAATTGATTTTGTCAATTTCAGGAAGTCTGAGATCGAGTACTACGCCATGTTGGCCAAGACTGAGGTCCAGCATTACAGCGGCACCAACATTGAGCTGGGAACCGCCTGCGGTAAATACTTCCGCGTGTGCACCCTGTCCATCACCGATCCTGGAGATTCGGACATCATCCGCTCTCTGGAGTCGGCCTAAACTTATTTTTAATCTAACAAGACAACACAATAAAGTTTTGAATGAGCAGAGATAATGTTAAAAATAAATCATTTTTTATTATGGTCAAAAGCTGGATATATTATATATATAATTAGGCGGTTTTAGCTGGACTTTTTGTTAAGGAACGGATTTATTATTCGATTATTGCAAACCTGATATGAGATATCAAGACAGAAATCCTCTTTAGTTAAATATTTGGTTTTGTTGACAACTCCATTAAAACAAAATCCAAATACATATACATCTTTATTCGATTATTAAAATTTTATTTATAAAAATACATATTGTCATTTTTCTCACTAATTTTAAGTACAAACTGTTTAGAACGGAAACATTAGCTTTAAGCACTTCCATATCCATTTACCATTGAGCCCGCTAATGATTACAGGGAAAATGAAGCTTTCAGCTTTAAATGTGCCTTTGCTTGGCCTGGAAGATATAAAAAATAATTATAAATATTTTAGAATGGCTATTTTATTATTTTTGTACTTACATTCTCTGCCACTTTCAGAAGATGATCAAAACTGGCCTTCCCCGTCTGCATCACCATTCCATGGAATACCATTGCCTCTGACTCGGTCAACAGCTCGTAGGGTGAACCAAATTCGACGACTTGACCGGCATCCAAAACAAGAACCTTGTCCGAATCCATAATGGTGTTCAAACGGTGGGCAATCGTAAGTACAGTGCAGTCTTTAAATTTGTTCCGAATTGTGGCCTGTATAAGTGCGTCCGTCTGGGGGTCCACATTTGCTGTTGCCTCGTCCATAACGAGAATTCTATTCTCGCGAAGAATGGCTCGTGCCAAGCAGACCAACTGGCGCTGACCCACACTGAAATTGGTTCCACCCTCTGAAATGGCACTTTGCAGACCCGTAGGCAACTCGGAAATTTCCTCCTTCAGGTGTACCTCCTCTAGAGCCTTCCAGAGCTTATCATCAGGATATTGCTCAAAGGGATCCAAGTTGTATCGCATTGTGCCAGAGAACAGGACGGGTTCCTGAGGAATAATCGAGATTTTGCTGCGTAGATCGTGCAGACCCATATCATTTGTGTCCCGTTTGTCGATAATTATTGCTCCTTCGTTGTAGGAAAGCCGGAAGAGTGCATTAATCAGCGAAGATTTTCCTGCACCAGTACGTCCTACGATTCCGACTTTCTCCCTGGGCTTAATGGTGAAACTTAGTCCCTTAAGTACGTAATCTGCATTAGGGTCTGGCACATATCGCAAGCTTAAATCTTTAGTCACCAGCTGACCCTCTTCTGGCCAACTCTTTGGTGGTTGCTTATCCGCCGGCGAGGTGAATTCTCCTTCCGATTCCAGGTCCTTGTACTCGAGCACTCGCTCCACCGACGTCATTGAATTCTCCAACTCGGCGGATTGTCGCATGCCCCACTGCACCGTTCCCGTCATTCCCAGTGCTTGGGTGATGGCCAGGCCTATCTGTCCAGCATTATGTAAAGGTGGATTGAAAAAGCTGTGCAATATTACTGATATGACATAGGCCACACAGAATAAATCCAGGTAGTAGCCAAATGCACGACTGGTGGAAACAAAAGTGTAGTATCCGGAGCTGTGCAGATCCTGGTAGTTGTCGTACTGCCCGATCAGAGTACGTTGGGCGCCCATGGCCCGTATGGTGGGAAGTCCAGTAAGAGTGGCACTAAAATGCGAGTACATGGGTGACCTAGCAACTGCCTCCAGGCGCTTCACGTCCCTCGACGTACTCAAGTAAAAATCACGCCAATAGTAAAATGCCAGTATCATGGCAAACGTATTGATTAGGTACCACGGATTGCTCAGGCAGAGCACACAGATGATGCCCGACAGAGTGAGGAAGATCTGAATACAATCTAACATAACGGCAGGCATCACCTCATCCACCTGACCCAGATCATTCGCAAAACGGTTGAGTATCCGTCCTGAGGGATTAGTATGAAAGAAGTACAGAGCCGTACGAGACAGACCCCCAAACATGGTGTTGTGTAACTCGGTGGAGCAGTGCATGGTGATGTTGAAGAAAAGTAGAGTCCGGAGCAGGGCACAAATAACCAGACCCACGTTTATAGCCGTGAAATAGTAAATATCCAGCGACGACGATGAAGCAGTGTTTTTTACCCTGTAAAAAGATTTATGAAATTAGTATAGAGACAAATATTTAAGTGATTTCAATTTCTTACCAGTACGACAAGAAGTAATCCCCGCCAGAGGCCAATAGCTGAGTGCCAGTACAAAGGAACACAAGCAATGCGAAAACTATGACGCCACAGCCTGCGCTAAAGTATTTCTTGTACATGCTCAAACCAATTTGACCACCACTACGAGACTCCTGCACTGTCACTGAACTTGGCTTTGGTTTCTCTTTCTCCACCATGGATTCCAACGAAGTGGAGCTTCCCTTTGCACTTCCACTGCTTATAGAACTGGCCTGTTGGGAATACCCAGACGACTTCTCATCCGCATCATCTTCGCCGCCATTTTGGGTGCTCTCAGCCAAAAGCTGGGCAAAGTCCTGGCCACTCTTAAGCATTTCTTCGTAAGTGCCGCAGGCCGATACCTTTCCCTTGTCCATTATCACAATAAGATCGGCGTGCTCTAGGAACTGTAGCTGATGGGTGACTAGAACCACTAACTGCTTACCCAGGAAGCCGCGCATGCACTCATCAAAGAGGTGCCTACCCACATGGGTATCCACTGCGCTGAGGGGATCATCCAATAGGTAGACATCCGCCTTACGGTACACAGCTCTCGCCAAACAGATTCTCGCTCTCTGACCACCAGACAGCGATGCGCCCCGCTCGCCCACAATGGTTCCATCACCTTGTAGCAATTCCAGATCCCGCTCCAGTGCGCACTTCTTAAGGACGGTTCGATAGCGCTGCTTGTCCATAGGCAAGCCAAACAAAATGTTGTCGCGCACTGAGGCATTGAATAGCCATGGTTCCTGGGAGGCATAGGAGTATCTACCTGAAACCTGGACCGATCCAGACTCAGATGGCAGCTCTCCTAAGATAGCCTGAACAAGGCTTGATTTTCCAGATCCCACGGGTCCGATAACAGCTACCAGTTGTCCACGTTGCAGCGACAAGTTGACGTTGTCCAAAACGGGGTCATGGTGATCCTGGCTCCAGCGTGCTCTCAAGCCTTTGATGTCCACTAGAACATCTGGTAGTTTGCCATTTCCAATGGGATAAGTCTTCTTTTCTACTTCTCCAAGCAAGTGTTGCTCCTCTTCTGATTTTTCCTCACATTGGACTGACTTATCAATTATATTTGCCTCCTCGCGCATCAAAAATGTCTTTATACGACGGATGGAGACCAAAAGTTCAGCAAATTGAGACATCCCACTGGGAAAAAACTTGCTCACAGTACGCCTCAGGATATTGTAGAAAGCAGTGACACAGAAGGCACGTTCGGCCGTAAGTTCGCCGCCCGCCAGCACGAAACCCAGGAGGCTCACAAAGATGGCAATGCGACCGAGGGTGATCTCGAAGGATAACAAGACTCCGCGTAACAGATTTATCTTCCGAATGGCGCTCATTTCACTGCGCCTCATCTGTTCGATTAGCTTGCCAAATGGTCGCTCCCATGTATACATCTTGATTACTTGGATGCCCGAGATGATCTCGTTCATCATGCGCACCCGCTGGTCCGTCCGAATGGCAGTCTGCAGGCGCAGCTTTGAGGTAATTCGGCTCATATAGGTTTGTAGTGGCAGGTAGAGTATCAAGATGCTGATCCCGTAAAAGGAAGCTATGCCAATTTGCTGGTACAGAAAGTAAGCAGCGATCATCAGCTCCACAGGACCCAGCCACAGAAAATGGAAATGAATAAGGCATCGATCGAAGCGGTTGAGATCATTGGATAACAGGTTAACCACCTGGCCGGTTGTGGTATCTCCCAGAGATGTACGGCTTAGGCGCAGGGCCTTTCTGTAGATAGCACTGCTTACTGCAACTCGCATCTTCATGGCCAAATGCTGAAAAGATTTAAATGGAAAAACTATATTAAAATATTCTTATTCCGGAAGTGTATCATGGGAATTCATAGCGTTTTTATGAAGTGTTTGGAGTTAAGGAGTATATAATAAAATTAAGTTTACTGTCTATTTACTAAAGGTAATTACTCAAAGCTTTGAACTTTTGCTTTTGTTTACTAGAAATCGAAAAGTAGAAAGTAGTGTGTATAAGGTGACTCTTCAAATTTCGCGAATTTCAAATTTTTCGATTATCGATTTTTTTGTTTTGTTATACTTAAAGCGATTTTAATTAGCATTGGAACAAAAGTGTTTTTAAACGAAATAACACTCCTTTAACAAGTTGACCCAATGAACGAAAACAACAACAAAAACGATAAACATTATCTTACCATCATGCCCATCATGTAGGGGTGTGTGAGAAGGACGCTGGCCAAGATGCAAACTATCAAAAGAACAGCATAGATCTGGGCGTAGTAGCTGTGTCCATTTCCATGCTCACTGAACTCCGATATGAGACCGGCCAAAAGAAGCGGCACCGTGGCCCTGTAATAAAGTTAATTAAATTGTTATAATTATCAGTGACATGTTAGCGGCTGTTGATAAAGCCCAAGGGTTTTACCTGGTTCCCAGTTCCAGGATGGCAATCACTATACCGGATAAGATGAGCTGCCAGCCAAAAACGCGACCGATGACTCGCAGGACACTTGGTTCCCGTTTGGAACCCTTGCCCCGGCACCGGGCGACCTCCTCCTCCCATTTCCTAAAGAACTCATCGCCCAGGGTCTCAGCTCCGTGCTCGTCAAGGGTTTTGTACAGATCAGATGGCTCAAGCGTCTGCCTGCGACCCTTGAATAGAATGGGCAGGGCAAAGCTGGAATAAGAGAACAATTATGTAAATCGATTTCGCAACGAAACGAGCAATTTATATTTATGCTACGAACAGTATGTGGTATCCGATAACGGTTGTCTTCGGATGTCACTTCGACTCAGCGTCAGTCGATAGGTATGTACTTAAAGTTAATTGGCATATGTGATAACACTTGATAACACATTCTTAGCGGTAAGATGAAACTTTTTGCGTACCAGAACATTAGCGAGGATAAAATACCTGCCGACTCGCGCGGATTCGGTGGCAGTTTGTTCGCCTGCATGATTATGTAAATTAGACCGCAAATTCACACACTCATAAATAATTAACTAGCAAAATGATAATTTAGCAGTATTTCATCACATGAACACATTGATTGTGTGTATTTATCAACATAAACAACGTATACGAATTGCTTTCGACAGATGATGATGCTGCATCAGGATTGCGCCACGTGATAGCAACAATTGGGAACGGAAAACTTTCCACTCGATCGGTAGATACGAAATAAACAAATCACTTGAGCCGTCCACAACGCTCCGCTTTTCCAATCATTCTGTTCAATGGTGGCGCAGCCAAACGCTTTCGATGCCAAATCAAACGCCCGTCGAGCCCGGAATCAGCTGTTCGAACGGCTGACGCATGTACTCATTGTGTGTAAGTATGTGTGAGTTTGTTTGAGGGAGAGCGCCGCGTTAGATACATATATTTACTTACATGGTCACTCCAGCCTTCAGAATATTAGAGTGGACCTCTCAAAGATTAGATAACGGTTTTTGCAATTTATTTCCCATCCCCTTTTAGATTACAAAGCTATTTTTATAGTTTCTAAAACTATAAATGTGGTTGGTACTTATAACTAATTAGGCGAAATTCTTAATTCGTTTTTTTAAAAACATCCAGTTATAAAAACTGTTATTTTCATGGCTAGTTTTTACAACATCAGGGTGCAACTCTCAACGATAAGATATAGGTCATCCAATTTAATGAAATTATTTTCCGCCCTATATTTAAGTGCTCCGATAAGGTATCTAAACATTTTAAGTCTCCTTAATAATATAATGCTAGTGTAGGTACAACTATTTACATAGGTTGCACCTTGTAAAGATAAGATAACGGGTCTTGTAATATGATACAATAAATAATAATGGACTTGTATATTAAGTCCTAGATAATAAAAAGCTTGCTGTTAATATGTTAGGTTATTTAGCGTATTATTATACATTTTTAGGTAAACAAATTTATTCACAGTTCTTCAAAATAACTTCAATTAACGCTTTTTTTCTAATAATAGATATGGAATGACTAGTCTGCGAGTTTATCATTGCATATATAATTGAAATTCCATAAAAAACTTTTTTTACTAAATTAATTTCATCATTTCATTTCCTGTTTTCCTCATCAATTCTGCCGGTACAGCACTTATATTTATCGCCCTTGTCACATGGTAAATACATATCTTATCAAAAATATATTCAAATTATTCTAGTTTAGGAGACCAAAATCATCATTATAATTTTATTTTAATCAAATATATGATCTGTACCCGTAATCAAGTAACCATGTTGATGATTACGTGAATTGAGATACGTATATTTAATTCAGTTTCTATTATTAAAATTAATTGTTGGTCGTAAAGTATTTTGCATTAATGTCACCTTTTAAATTGAATTTCCCATTTAAGTCGACCTTGACCTCGTTTTGTTTTTCTAAATAATTGAGTAGTTTTCAAATGTATGTTAATTATAGCTCTCATATACAATTTAATGAGTTTAAAAAATAATTTCAGCAACATTTTTTAACGTACAAAAAAATGGTTAAACAATTTTTTTTTTTTTATTTATAGTAAAGTGATTTCGCACACCCTTGGTGTTGTGTTATTCTTATCTTTGTCGACAAACGTCAACATGTTCCTAGCCATACATAATACGTACAATAACTGACAAACACTAGTTTGTTCATAAATTTTCCCTCGCACTTACAGTGATATCAAATTAAACTGATTCTATGAATGAAAAGTAAACCCGTCAAATAGTTGCGGTTTGCTTTGGTATTTCTACACCGAGATATAGTAACACGGTTCGGAATTTAATAAGATACAATACAAATTTTATCATTTATTTTTTATTGACAACATTATTCAGATTATTTAACAGCGCCAAAACTGCATAGGTGAGGTGATAGGTGCATAGATAACAATCAGAATTTCGAGTCTTATCTAATCAATTTACTTATTTCGTAAACACAAGTTAAAAAGCTATTAATTAGCTATTAAAAATACAAGCACACACGTTAATATACTTATTAAATAATGTTTCAGACGATAAGAAAATACATATATAAATAGAACAATTCGTCTGCCCGCCTTATAGCTTTGTTCGGTACTGTAATGAACGGTATTAAGGTTTATTTATGAGATAACATTTCGTTTATAGTTTAAGGGCTTATAGTTAAAAAAAAAGTCAGGGATATGAAATACACATTTTCTTGTCTGTTTTGTCTGGAACTAATTACATCTTATAAAAATTGTAGCATTAAAAGATAATATAAATTAATAGTTGACATTACGCACGTGTGAAATTAATGTGAAGACTTCCTTCATTTGCACTCTCATAAAAACATAAAAGTAATCCAATTGTAAAAATTATATGTATATAAAAGCATAGCGTTAGTGATGTTTGTCCGCTTAAGAAAGAAACTAGAATGCGGACAAAAGATATCTATCTAGATATCTTCAAAATATTATGATGAAACTCTCTCATTCTGCGTACTTTCGAATGCCTAAAATAAAATGTTTTTAAATTACAAAAATATATTTTCGACATAACATGACAACAAACCTTTTGAGCGATCTTAAAGAAGTCATCATAGGTGTCACTTCCTGATTTCTTGACCATATCGTGGAACACTTCTGCCCCCGTTAGAAGCTCATAGGGTGTCCCGAACTCCACAGATCGTCCAGCATCCATTACCAGAACCTTATCCGAATCCATAATAGTGTTCAAGCGATGGGCAATCGTAAGTACAGTGCAGTCCTTAAATTTGTTTCTAATGGTGGTTTGGATTAAAGCGTCCGTCTGGGGATCGACATTGGCCGTGGCCTCGTCCATCACAAGGATTCTATTTTCGCGAAGAATGGCCCTTGCCATGCAGATCAACTGGCGTTGACCCATACTGAAGTTGGACCCCCCTTCGGTGATTTTGGTTTCTAAGCCCTTGGTCATATTGCCCACCACATCCTTCAAATTAACCTCATCTAAGGAGTGCCACAGCTTGTCATCGCTGTACTCTTCGAAGGGATCTAAGTTGTATCGAAGTGTGCCGGAGAACAGAACGGGTTCCTGAGGAATAATCGAGATTTTGCTACGCAGATCGTGCAGACCCATCCCATTTGTGTCCCTTGAGTCTATGCGGATGGATCCATCGTTGTAGGACAGTCGAAAGAGAGCGTTGATCAACGAGGACTTGCCTGCTCCAGTACGTCCCACAATGCCGACCTTTTCCTTAGGCTTAATGACGAGATTCAGTGACTTAAGCACATTTTCCGCTTTCGGATCTGGCACATAACGCAGACTCAGCTCATCAAACTCTATTTCGCCGTGCTCGGGCCACGATTTGGATGGTTTCTTTTCCGACAGAGATTCCAATGGTCCTTCCGACTCAATGTTCCCATACTCAAGCACTCGCTCAACAGAAACCATTGTGTTTTCCAACTCAGCGGACTGTCGCAGAAGCCATTGCACGAAGCCAGTTAAGCCCATTGCCTGTATAAAACATCAATACTGAGCTGGTGAAACACTGTAATTATTCAGTTAAGTTACCTGTGTTAGGGCCAGACCCACCTCTCCTCCATTAGCCGGTGGAAATACAAAAAAACTAAGAGTAACTACTGCTATATAAACCAGGCAGATACAATCCAACCAATAGCCAAAAGTGCGAAATGTGCTAATGAACATGAAAAATGCGGAGCTATGAATGTCCTGGTAATTGTCAAACTCCAACTCTAGAGCGCTTTGGGCACCGAAAGCACGGATGGTGGTCAGTCCAGACAGAGAAGTGGCCAAATGTGAGTACACGGGGGATCGAGCTTTAAGATTGTTTTCCAAAATATTAAGTAATTTAATAATAGATAGAGTTGTACTTACTAGTTGCTTCAATTCGCTTTAAAGCCATCGATGTTTTGAGAAAGAATTTCCGAATCTGATAGAAAATTACTGCAATTACCATTGTTGGAATTAGTAACAGAGGATTGACGATAGCTATCATGGCTATTATGCCAACTAGCAAAAAGGCAATCTGTATAATATCAACCATCATCGGAGGCAGTATCTCGTCTACTTGGCTAATATCCTTTGGAAAATCGGTTAAGAATGCGGCCGTGGTTATTGGTATTATAAAAGTACATGGAGGCTCGTAGGAGTGTTTTAAACATGGTATTGTGCAAACAAATCGACGCCTTCTTGGCCATGTTGATTAACAAAATTGCGGTTGTCAGGCTTAGTATAATGGTCAGGACCATGATTACTGTGAATATGTAGATGTCCGTTTTTTCAGAATAAGTAGATCCACTCAAATCATCCACTATTTGATCTCTATTCGCTACCGCATTTTTGTTCTTGTTCATCCTAAAGGAAAACAATAATAAAAGTTAAGGATTCTTTTTTTATGATTTTTTAGACTTCTACCAGTATATCAGAAAATAGTCGCCCATTGAGATCACTCCCTGCAAAACCACAAAGCTGGAAGCCATGACAAGAAACGGGAGGATTCCACCGCCCGCCTTAAAGTACTTCCAGTAAAGGGCCAGGCCGACGCCACCTGATTTTTGTTGCTCCATATTGATTTTATCCTGGAAGGACTGCTCCGATTTTTCACTGTTGCGTCGCACTTCGTTGTGAGGAATATTACAGATGGTCAGATTATCTTCCGGATTATCTTCCTTCTCCGCTTGACCAAGGACGGTGACTCCCTTTTTAAGGAGTGACTCGTAGGTGCCGACAGCACTCACTTGGCCCTTATCCATGATCACAACCTGATCTGCTTGCTGCAGGAACTGCAATTGATGAGTGACTAGGACTACTGTGCTTCCTCGCAAATAGCCTCGCACACATTGCTCGAAGATATGATGGGCCACACTGGTGTCCACCGCACTAAAGGGATCGTCCAGCAAATATATGGACGCTTCTCTATACACAGCTCGCGCCAAACTAATCCTTGCTCTCTGGCCACCGGACAAAGAAGCTCCTCGATCTCCAACAATGGTGTTGTCCTTAAATGGGAGGAGCTCAAAGTCTCGTTCAAGAGCGCACCTCTTCACCACCGATTCATACCGCCTGCGATCCATGGGCTGACCAAAGAGGATATTCTGGCAAACGGTGCCGGCGAAAAGCCACGGCTCCTGGGAGCTGTATGACATGCAGCCATTTACATGGATCTGCCCGGACTGAGCTTCCAGCTCACCGAGAATGGCGTGAAGGAGACTAGATTTCCCGGATCCTGTGCTACCCGTTATGGCTACTAATGTTCCAGGAAGAATTTCCAAACTTATTCCACTAAGTGTGTTGTTGTGGTGAGTTAGTGTCCCATTTTACCTCAAGTCTTGTGATGGAGATAATGGAATCGAAAGGAGTTGGATGATGATTACCGGCAGAGACCGTTTTGGGCAAAAGACTTTCTTCCTCTTCATTTAGAGGTATCTTGGCTTCAACAGAAGGTCCTTTTCCTGGACGATTTTGTATCCTGTCTACCTTTGTGACCTCCTCGAGTTGCATAAAGTTTTCTATGCGCTTTAAAGAAACCAGGAGTTCTGCCATCTGACTTATGGCGATTGGAAAGAATATGGCCATTGAGTATTGTAATACATTAAAGTAAGCAGTAACCAGGAAGGCAACTTCTGGTGTTAAAAGATTTCTCAAGATCACATATCCAACCAAACTTAGAAATATGGATACACGTGAGGTGAATATTCCAAAGGCAAAGCCAATTCCCTTTATATATGAGCCTTGGCGAATAGCGTTTATCTCCTTCCTTCGGACCATTTCCACCTTTCGTTCAAAGGGTAACTCCCAGGCATACATTTTGATCACTCGTATGCCCGAGATGATTTCATTGATTATCCGCATTCGCTTGTCCGTTCTTTTGGCAGCCTTCAGTCGCAGCACTGAGGTAATCTGGCCTAGATACATCTGGAGGGGTATGAAGAGTAAATAGAAGACGACTCCAAACACGGCTGCTATCCCAATCTATAAACCGATTTATTCTTATTGAGAATTAGTAAGACTTTTGGTCTTCTTACCTCTAGGTACATCAAATAGGTGATTAGCAGCGTTTCTAGTGGACCCACCCACAACATATGAGCATGAAAGGGGAGTCCACCCAGACGGGCTAAGTCGTTTGATATAAGGTTCACCACATATCCAGACATTGTGTTACCCAGTGCCCGATTACTCAGCCGCAGCGCCTTCCGATAGATCATGCTGCCCATGGCCACACGCATTTTAAAACCTACAAAATCATACAAAATCAGATTTTATTTTAAGCCAATAAATGAAAATATAATTAATATATTGGTAGACTTACAGAGATTCTGATTGCCGAAGTAGACTGGGTGAACGGTAACTACTATGAGGACACTGCACAGGATCAGACCACCCGCATAGTAGTAGCCCATCTCAACGGATTCTGAGCCTTTAGTGTAGTATGAGATAAGTTTAAGCAAGATCATCGGCTGAAATGTTTTGAATCCCAACTCTGAGATGAATGTAAAAAGTCCATAAAATCCGAATCTCCAAGCAAAAACCCGAAGCAGAGCGCGTATTAGTTTCGGGTTTTCCTTGTTATTTTTAAGTTCTTGGTTCCATGACGAGCACAATTTATCGCCGAGAGTGTCTGGAATAGGTTTTTTATAACAGTTATAATACATTGTAGTACGGTAAATTTCTTGATAATAGTAAATGAAAGTAGTATCTTAATCACTTGCTTTGCTTAAACAAATACAAATGTTATCATACCCGACTTGTGCTCCGTCAAAGTCTTGTAAATGTCTTTCGTTTCCAGGCTGTCCTTGGATCCCTTCATAAGTATGGGTATGGTATACCTAAGCATTTAAATTTGGTACACTTGTAGTTACTTTCTATTCAGCAATTTATACTTACCAAAAACATAATTTCGAAAACAAATTAGATCGCTCTTTGGGATTCTCCGGAAGTTCTTTAGTTTTTACCGATTGCATTTTGATTTGATATTAAGAGTATTTTACACTAAGAATAATAACGATTCAAAAATTGGCTAAAGAGTGTTAAAAATAATCCGTCTTTTCACCCTTAAGTTCGCTATTCTACTGACTTGAGTTGATTTTCGGCTCATGGTTACGAATTTTCACTTCAAAATGAGATAAGTTATCAGTTTGCAAGTTTTTGCAGACTCAAGATTATTCGGCGGACAAAGTTGATTAGAAAGAAACTAATTCTAATCTTTATTTTAAAAATAGGTTTTCGAATCTTTATTTACATTGAACTGTCGACTTTTTCAGATAGTACATTTTTGTTTTGTTTTTCAATATAAATCGAAATACTGGCAGGTTTTAGTTGTTAAAGATACCACTGAATATTTGACGGTTCAAACAAGAACATTTTTTTTTAAATAACATATATATTTTCTATGAACAACAAAAATTGCGGACGAAAAGCGTTCAAAAAGAAGATCGTGACTAAGTACCGTTATCAATGTTACCAACCCAGTGGTTTTCATAAATATTCCTAAATCTCAAACATAAAAAAGCGTTTAAGTTAAATAGTAATATTGGATTCTATTATTTTTTCCAACACTGTATTTATGTTAAAATTAAAATAAATTTTTTAAACTGTGGAAAGACTCTTATTTAATTCTTTCACTTTACTTTTACTTTTTCAAAAGCTTACCAGCAATGGGTTAATCCTTAAACTTTCTCAAAAAGCTTTAAACTATAACAATTAAAAACTTGGCTATGGTAAGTGCCATATACACAAGCATTTTGTAGTTATCAGCAAAATAAAACCACTTGTCTCCGGAAAGCTTTTCCAGGTGAACTTTAAGTTTAGGTGAACTTCTTAATGTGATTGATGGTAAGAAATATGGCCAAGGAGCCAGTTAGCCCACGCTACTCAATCCAAAAAGTCCACGGCATGAGAAGTGGTTTTAGCTTCGCCAGGGAATTAATGCAGTAATACTGGTATTCAATGTAGACGCTTGTAAGTCCACATTGGGCAAGGAGGCAAGGTGCTATAGATCCTCCAGCCTCAGCCTTTGCTGAGTTGATATTCTGCTAATGAGCATGATGAATACAATTTCCGAATTCCATTATTTAAACACCGGAATCCCTTTTTAATTGGAATTAATATTGAGTTTTTTTTAATGCAATAAAGAACATACAAAAAGTTGTTTAGGGTTTAATAAAATATAAGCAAAAGACATCAAATAGACAGAAAAATGTAAAAGTAATTTTACATCTATCTACATTATCATTAAAAGCCAAACGGTCGAAGTAGAAGTCACAAAAATTGAAGCCATTATTTGAGCTTTTCCATTAGTGATCAATCCATTTTTAGTTATGTCTACTGTATTGCAATCCTTGTCGTAACACTTTTCGCAAAGATTAGAATTTTTCCTACAGTACTCCTGACCGTCCTCGTCCAAATCGGAAATGCAACTTCTCACCATATAGCCGTCTGGACCTCCAGCAGAGCTAGAATAACTATAATATATTGATATGCAACCATTAAGTTCTCCCAATTTTATTGGACACATCTTCTTTCCTTTATTCTTCCTAGTTTTTCCCCTCATTGGGAAAACAAAATTTACAGTTAAGGCATCTCAAAGGCGGAAAAACAGTTGTGGTGATCGTTTCCTCTGTAGTGGCTAAGATATCCATGTTCTCATATTCCTTGTTTGATATGTTTATTTCTCTAGAGAAAGTTTGCTCTTCCTGGGCTTTAAGCAAAGGCAGTAAAGCGATTAATAGAATACTCCTTTTAATCTGATGCATTCTGAAATGTATTTTCTATTTGTAAGTTAGAATTGTGTCGTCTATTACTAGATCTCCGTTTTCCCTTATGGTTCCGTCGCTATTTTTCTAACAACTGAATGTAGATTTTATAAAAGCTCTTTGATAGCCTTGTTAACAGCAGTTCACTGATTGACACTCATGTCATTTTATGAGCCTAACATATAACTATTTCCTCAGCTCGAGGGACTATTAACCCTTTTTAGAAATCAATCCCAGAGTCCCTTAACCATTAAAGACATGCTGAGTAATTATTATTTTGATGCGAGTAGAGTGAAAAATAGTTGAAAGTTATATGTATTTACATTATATCATTTTATATTTTACACTGAGAAAATATTTTAAAATAAATAAATCAAATATCCCATCAAATTATCGCACACTGTGTTCTTTTTTAATATTTTATTTAAAAATATATTTACATGCAAAACCAATTTTGAAAGGTAAACGTCAAGCAAAGTGGTAGATACAAACAAATTCTATATTGATAAAATTATGGTTTTTATAGGTTAAACAAATACTTCTAGATATACTGTCGCTATAATCTGCCATGTTTGGTATTAGTCATTTATTAATTGTTATTATTCAGAATTTGCGGGTGAAATGTATTAATAAGGCACCTGGTAGCTGAACAAACAGATGCTCCAGATAAGGAAAGGTGCCATCAGATGATGAGTGGCAGCACCAGAACCCGGAGAGTCCATAAATTGTGTCATGGTATGAACATTGCAATTGTCTTCGTAACACGTTGGACATAGTTTGGCATTTTCATTGCAATAACGATAATAAGCGGTGTCCATTTCCGATATGCAGCCTCGATTAAAATAATCCTTTTTACCCGGTATAAGATTGGGATCTCGAACAAGAACCGTACGACATCCATTCTTTTTTCCCGGTATCGGTGGACAGAGTGACTTGGGTTCATTCTTAGTATCATTACAGAACATGCAGGAGTAGCAACTCAATGGAGGAGGGAATACCGGATTAGGTATGGGGGGCGTAGCTGGTGTCAAGGTAGTTCCTTCTGTGGGTTGTGGTGTGGTGTCCTCTTGGGGCCCGTCATTAGGGTAATCAGGTGATTCTCCCGTTGATATGACTGCAGTTTCGTTGGGTAAATGAGATTCCATCTCTGGCGCTGTTGGTGGTTTACTTAATATATTGGGTTCAACTTCTGAAGATGATTCATTGTTAACCGGGGGAGACTGGTCTGAATGATCAGATGTTTGGCCTTCTTGATTTGTTTCAGGAGTTTTAGGTGGGGTAGAAGTTTCAGAATTTTCATTTTCGGACTCTTTTTTCTGATCCATTTCCAGGTTTGAGCCCAAACTTGGTACATCAGGCTCCCCTTTATCCTCTCCTGATTGGTGCTCCATTTCCTTAATCTGGCTGCCATCAGATGGTAAATCTTGTGTACCCATTACAGCATCCACCGGCTCTTTGTCAGGAGCAGGCATTTCGGTTGTGGTTGTAAAAAATGATGGTGATGGTGCTTCCACACCGTTCTCCTTATTATCCGTCGTCTGATCTTCATGATTATCTTCGGCTTCTAATCCACCACTGATGCTGACCTCTTGTATGTTATCCTCCTGGGCCCTGCTCCATTGAAGTAGAGCAGTTAGGGAAATCCAGATCACCAGCAGTCTTATTCGCATTGTGGTCCCCGATCGGTTGAAAATTCGCGGTGCTTATGACTTGGATGGGAAATAAATCTTCCACTGAACCCGCAGTTGAGGTGCTTATCAGGTCTGTATCTTTTGTTATCGGTTTATCCCCGTTCTGAAGAGCTCGGCAAATAGCAATATTTGTTCTGTTCTGGCCAACGATGGAAGAGTTTGTTATTCCCGACCTGTCCCGTGTCTGTTTAGCTGGCAACTGAGGACGGTGGTCATTAAACCGCCTGGACATACGATACGTGTACTCGAATCCGCTGATTGTCACGCAATTATCCGGTCTCTAAATTAAATCGATACATCGGGGTTGAACAGCAGCGGTCGCGGGACCCTTGACCCACGCTTATGAGTCGCTCCCGAATGTCCTGCAACAAATGCGAGGCCCTGAATTATTGATGATGTGAACCTTTCGATGGAACCGATGGGACACTCCGATAATGGGGTCAAGGCACAGAGCACATTATGGTTATGACATTTTTGGCCATTATGCATATGCCAGAATTAAATCGCGGTAACTATACATTTGTGGTTGGGAGAAGTTTCAACACCGAAAGAATTATATATAATATAAAACAACATCTCCTAAAATACTTTTTACAAAAATATTTTTTTATAAACATAAAATATGCAAAATATTATTTTGAAAATACCTTTTCTATCAATAAAAAATGGAAATCTAATAATGTTATTTTGATCTTTAATTACCAAGTTAAGAATTACCCTATTTTCTTTTATGGACTTATTCTTGCTTATCCTTATCACCGTTTTAACTATATCAACTCTTTGTTATACAGTTGATAAGTCATAAACAGATTATTGGGTTTCAATTGGCAAAAAGAGGTGCAATTTTTAGTTTACATTCTTTATAAGCTGTCAAAATGCTTGGACGCCACCTGCTCTTCATTTTCCTGGTACTCTTGCTAACAGGTGAGAATTTCAAAATTTCTCTCAGAAAAAATGCGTTTCAAACCTTTGAAGGCGTTTACAATGATAGGTCATAGTTTTGCCATTGTTTGCTATCACTGCGATTCTATTGCCCTGCCGGAATGTTCCCAGACCCTCGGAGAGGTGGGTGTTCTTCCCTACAAGGAATGCTCATCTGAACTGACGTGTGCCATGTCAATTGGTGAGTTGAACTAAATGCTAGTCATAGTTATTGAGTCTATTTTTGGATTGAATTAATTTTTTATAGGTAAAATCCATTTGTAGCTTGTTATTTTGATATTTAGAGGGTTATGTATGGTTCTGTATCGTAATCTCTGCCTTTTTTAGTGGACTCCATCACATATCGCGGCTGTGGTGCTGAAACGCCCATTACCGGAGCCACTTACTCAAAGACATGTTCCTCAAACTTGTGTAATGCCGGTGTCTATCCACCAGGACGACTTAAATGCCATCACTGCGCTGGTCAGGATTGCGTCGCAGCTCCAGGGGCAAAACCAAAACCCTGTCGCTATCATTTGGAAGAGGATCAGTGCTACACGGATGTTATAAGTTCTTCAGAAGCTTACAGGGGTTGTGTCTCCGAGCAGAATCACACGCTGTCTAGTGCCGCTCAGCTGTGTGAAATCAATGGCTGCAACGAAGATCAGGGAGCTTGGACACAAGTTTGCGCCACCTGCGATTCTGCAGTCGGACGAGGATGTAAGATGGATCTCTTTCTGGTGAACACCGGTAAGTGCAATGTGACACTGTTCGAGGAATGCCAACAGGAAGTTCTTTTGGGTGAGCAGGAGGATAAATACTGCTTCAGTTTCCGGAGTTTAAATCGAGTGGTCAGGGGTTGCTCAACAAAAATGCCAACAGATCTAGAACCATACTTGGACAAATTAGAAAAGTGTAGATCCAGTGATAATAACTGCAATGCAGAATGTATTGCACGCCAGAGGTGTTTAACCTGCAATTCCTTGGACCAGGAACTCTGTCGAACGAATGTAACTGCTATAAGTAATAACATTTGCGGATCTGCAGAAGCGTCCTCCTGCTTCTCCTGTGAGTATTCCAACTGGAGTATCCAAAGAGGCTGTGGAGCTGCTCCCACAAATCCCGAAGTTGTTAAGTGCTACGAGTGCGATGAAGAAGGTGGGTGTAATAGTAAGGACTTTCACTCGATGCTACCAATGTAGCACTGATCAAGCTGGAGCAGGATGCGCAAATTGGGAAAGACCAGGAGAAATATATATCGAGGAATGTAAGGAGCCAGCAACATCGTGTTTAGTGGTATCTTATAACAACGGCACCACTGCAAGAGGTTGCCAAAAGCCAGATTTTAGCTGTGATTCCGAAAATGTGAACAATTGTCGTCCCTGTGAAGGAAGTTTCTGCAACAAAGGATCATTTCCAGAGGAGCGCCTGTGGTGCCATAAGTGTAAAGGCGTAGAAGATTGTGAGGAGATTTCCAGAGGACAAACCGCTCTTCCTTGCCCTATTCAAGCTAATGAGCCTATGAATCAAAAGCTCGCCTGCTTGGAGTATTTTGACATTCACAGCAAGCAGATTGTCAGAGGCTGTCGTTCCAATCCGGAGCTATATTATGAGTGCCTCTTAAGAAGTAACCATCATGACAGTTGTCGCATTTGTCACAGTCAGGCCTGCAATGATAGTCCTGGACAGGAGTTAAGATCAAGTTATGAACTGGAGGTCAAAGCAATATCACTGCTACAGGCCAGAAGTTTATCATCGTCCTTTAAATATACAAAAGCATGTTACGAATGTTGGTTTCTTCCTAAGTGCCATTTATCTGTTAATTTTGGGAACTACGTAACTTGTGGGAGCAAAACATTTAGTAATGGCTAAAGCTTTATAATGTTCCAAGACTCAAAATCCTTTTCACTCGTTTAATGATATTTGTTGTTATTTACGGTTTTTTATCTTTTAACGTGCTGAGACTAAAAATAAAGCATAGCAGAACTTATAATATTCGCTTTCTATTCCGGGGGCGTATAACCAGGATTTAAGGCACGACCACGGTGATTAAAAGAATAGAACGAAGGGAAGTTGCCCAAAGTGTCCCAAGTTTTTTGTTGCATGTCCACGGTGGCTCGAATTTCCTTAAAGTTGCCAACCACTTCGATGATGTTGTAGATCACGATCACCAAACTGATCACGGTTTGCAGGATAATCTAAGGATTGTGAATAGAATCCCCCTTTTAGCAACCACAAAAGTGCAGTGGTTTTGTTTGATACTTACGTCCAACGGAAGTCCGGTCCATTCCTGCTCTGTAAGCCTCAAATAAGTGCGATCTGTGGAGTAAATGCAGAAACCTCATTAGCGGTCCAAAGTTTATTTATCAAACTTATCAAGAAGAAACTTACGATGCGCAGCCGAAAAAGCAGCGTGAGCCAGACTGGCAAATCCAGCAATCAGCAAAAGCTTATTGAACAATTTACTGCCCATTTTTTATTGAACAAATACAAAATACAATCACAGGCGGAACAATTTTCTATAAAAATGTCACTAATTTGCTAAAATAAAATGCGGGCACACCTAGTGATGGGACCTTGGCCGATTGATTAGGGTTGTTTAAATGTTTAAATTATGTTAGAATATTTTAACCAATAAATATTATTTATTACATTTAGATTACATTTGCAGTTAAAAAAGTTTGTATTGATATAGGTTGGAAAATGTTAATATGGAATATTATGTTTCCGATTTAATTTGTTTTTAGGTGTCGGCTAAAAATTTAGTTTGTTTTGGTATTTCCATAACTATGCGGTCATATTAATATTGCCGCCGCGCTCGCAGGTATATTTGAACGTTTGGGCCATGGTCTCACTATTCGTTCCTCAACATTCGGAAGATTCGGAAGTCGCGGCATTTCAAGCGGAGAACCAGTGTCCAATAAGACAGTAGAAGTGCTCTAAAAGCAACACGGCATTTTAAACGCACATTGCAACTGATTTTTCTAAACCAAAAAGGATTCAAGGCCACGCCCCCGCCAAAAGTTTTCGTGTCATAGAGTCTGTGTTTGTGTACTTTCCTGCCGCATCGCTGTATTCGTGTGTGTATCCCGACGTCTCTTTTTGCAGTCCTTTTTGCGTGGGTGTGCCGAAAAAGGAGAAGAGAGAAAGAAACATAAAAAACAGTGAAATTCCAGTACACCAAAGCAAGTCAATAAAGGCCGATAAAATGTCCGTTTCATCAAACGCCTCATCTGCCTCCAACAAGGACAGCGTGGATAGCCCCAGTAGCACCGCCAACACTGACAGCTCCGAGCTTACGCACATTCTCAACCGGCGGCAGGAGATAATGGAATCCCAGGAGGCAGGCATCGAGGTCCGGCGCACCTACAAGGTGGTCAATGTGTACACCGACTTCCCCGAGTTCTCCCGGAACCAGATCAAGGACTACCAAAAGACCTTTAACACGTAAGTCTAGTTCGCAGTTTCTGTTTATTGAAAAAATGAATAAGAAGCTGCAAAAAGATAAATTTGTTAAAAGTAGTTCTTAAATTTTAATGAATTATTTAAAATGGTTTTTAATAGGGATATATTTATTTAACTAACTTTAGTAGCGGTGTTTGGTTTGCCGAAGGTCGACTGTATTAACCTTCACACTCCTTTCACTTGCAACTGCCACTTTCCCAGGCATCTCACCGCATTCGCGTCTCATTAGTTGGCAACATAAAACTCATCCGCCTAATGGGCATTTAAATTGCATTTACTGCAGCCCCTCCTTGGAACCCTACAACCTCCCCCTCCTCCTCCTCCTCCTCCGGGTACTCTGTGCAATGGAGCATGACTCACAAGTACTTGGGGAACGATTTTGTCACAGTCACTGGCTTATTCCCAAGTCGTGCTCCCGCCGTGCGGATCATGAGTCAAAAGTGGTTTTCTGCCCCAACACTTTCAGACGGTTTCAATTATTACACTACAGTCGTGATCCCCTAAGTGGAATTCCTAGTAACAAAAGTCAATTTTAATAATGGATGTTCTTTCTAAAAAGTTTATTTCAGAGGATGTATCTTTAACCTTATCTTTAAATCTTACACAAACAATCTACCGATTACCAAAACTAAAACTTCGACAGTACAGTAAACTGTACAATAAAATAGTCTTTCTTTTTTCTTCAAGGTTCAATAAGTCTTAAAGTCATAAGGTTTATTTAAGATCACCTGTATTTTTACCGTACTTGTGTACGGTTTTGCATTACTACCCGACAACGTCAGTTGTCGTCTGAGTGACACCTTGCAAACGAAATGTTTTCCGAGGTTTTCCCTTCCTCAGTTTCCTAGTCTTGTGGTGGATCGTTTTAGTGATAGGCCGTCTCGGGTTTCGCTCAATCAACCGCAGCAGTGTTGCGCAATGATTTTGTTAGATTAAATGTCTAGAATAGTTATTTAAATTCAAGTAGTTGGCACGTAGGGTCGTCTAGGCTGATAAGAGCTATCTCAGGTTCATCCAAATTATCTTCATGCCAAGGTGATTAGCTGGAATTCGCCGAGCACCTGTCACCTTTCCCAACTGATTCAACTTCTTAACCAACTGAGGTAAGGCTGAATCACCTGGCAATTAAACAAGGAAATGAGAATGCCAATTAGAATGATTTAAATAATAACTGATTTTGTAAACCAATTAGACAATAACTCCTTTAAGACCACGATTCATAGCTTCTTATTAGCTTGTTTATTGTATTCCTCCCCTAAAATCAGTTTTGTACATCTGGGTCAAAGCCTCGAGATCTGGCAAATGGTCAAAAAAGAAAAAAATGCGGCATTATGGCAATGCGAACGTGGTCTGCTAGTGTAATGCAATGCACCAGCAAAAACAGAGAAAAACAGACGGAGAAAAACTCAACTCCAGGCAGTCTGGGAAATACTGGGCGCATAAGCCACAAATGGCAGACAGACAAGAGACTTTTGGTCTGCGATTAGCTAATGTTGCGTTGATACATATATGGGTAACAGGATTGGATGTGGACAGAAAGCAATCTTTGCTTTGATTATACAATTGTCTCTTTTTGGATCTATAAGTATAGGAAATACCAAATGTTTTTGTGGTTACCATATAGAATATATAAAATTATATATTAATTAAATATATAGAGTTACAAACTATTAACACTAATTCCCCATCACTTATTCAAAAACAAACATGAACTGTGAATCAATGGATTTTATTTTATCAGTTTTTTAAGATGACAGCGCTCTGTTTATGCGACTATTCTCTACAGCAGCACTACAAATCACAAAAGTTCTCAAAAAAAATTTTTATACATTATACTCGTGTCTCAACGAACATGACTAGATAAGAAGACATAAACAACTTTTTTACGAGGATTCACTCTAAGATTTACTCACGTACTTTATTGAATTATCTGCCTAGACTTTAGCACATTTTTTCTACCCGAACAAATGCCAGACATTTACCCCTTTGGCTTGATCTTTTTAGCTCGGTTTTGCGGTTGGAACTTTAAAATAATAATAACAAAACAAAAAACCGGCTAAAGTAGCGCCTTTTGTGCCGCGGCTTTTGGCATTTCCAGTCACGTTGGGTCGTCCGACGACTTTAAGTGATGTGCTAAACTTGCAAATTTAAAGCGCTCAAACCTGAACGGTTTTAATTAAAACATGCGATATATATTTGAGAATCGAAAGCAAAACGCTGTCTGAGTCACGCATTGAATTCGTTTTACAAAGCAATTTGTTTAAACAATTCGCAACTGATTCAGCAAAGCGAATGGGTTTCTGCGAACATGCTTTTCGATAATCAAATCCAAATGCAAATGTAAACAAACTCGTCCGAAGACGTCACACTTTTGGAGGAAGCCTGTATTTCTCTCGAACTTCCCCAAAAGATAAGGTCCAGAGTATTGTATGACCAAGCCCTAGTAAATTAAAGCGTATTTTTATATAGTTTCATTCCATGCCTAACCTTATCATCACTCACGCAATGTATATGGCTATTTTATAGCGTCTTGGGCTTTGGTTTAGCTTCCTGATTGTTTTCCCCTTGTAATACGCCATTTTCCGCACGGATGTCTGCTGAATTTCAGAGATATATAGCGCACTAACTTCCGGTAGGCGATAAACTGCAGAATTATATCGCTTATTGCATTTAATGGCGCCTTAAGTCTGCCGAATTTAACCATCTTGGGGGAGTTCTTTCGTTTGTATAGATATACATAGTAGTATCGCCTTATGGTAAGAGTTGATAAGCAGCAATCCCTAAGCATACTTGGATGAAACCAACCACCAACGTTCACAACTCCACTTACTCATTGTTATGTACACTTACTTACTGTTGTTATGTACATTCGATTCAATTCTACAACAGATTTATTATATACAGTGATTACTCATTAAATAATAATTCAATTGCGCATAAATTTCCCTAATAAATACAGCAATTACTCATGTAAAAGTATTAGTCATTGCATATTATGGTGTTTATTATTTGTTTAAAAGTAGTTTAGCAATTAAACTATTACTTACATCAATTCAGTGTCGCTTATAGAACTTTTTAATTAGGATGTCCCTGAAATATGTATAACTGCTGAACACCCACTTGCCTTGCTTAATATAGAATTTCAATAAGATCTAAAATAGAAAAAGGCTTCCAAATAGGGAATGACCACTGTGGGTGAAAAGCCTATGATGTTCCCCTTGTTTTCTGTTAGGGGTGCTATCGATGCCAATGCTACTTGTATCGTTGCTTGTCGTCACTCTGGTTACAGTTTACAATTCGAGTTCATGGACATAAAAAAAGCGACGCACTTTACACTGGGGGAGGAATGCGTTTCTGTGTGGGCTTTTATTGCGACCGCAGTGGCGAGTAGAACTTTTAATTAAGTTGCCATTGCCACCACCTATTATCACTCGGCCATAACCCCTTAACAGCCCTCTCTACACTTATGCAAATTATATACATTACAGGGGTGGCTTTTCGGGACAATTACATATGTCTATATTCATGTTCTTAAAGTGCTTTCTCTGCGCACAAATGCATATTTGCATTTGGCGCACTTTTGTCTAGGTTCATTGACACTAATTTTGTTATTTACGAAATGCTGTTTGCATGCCTGCTTTTGTGGGTTCGGTAATCTCTACCGATGGAAAGCGGGTTTTCTGGCAATCGATAGCGATGCACTATCGTACGCCCCGCTTATTTCCGGCTGCAGCCTCCACTTGTAATTATTTCCGCGCACATGTGGCACGACCTTTTTGCATTTTGGCCAAAAATCGCGACTCGCGAAGTGCAGATGTGGAATTGCATTGAGCAGGCGACGGGCAGTCTGGCATGTCCACAAAAAAAAAAACACGCTAAAGAAAAATAAAATGAAATAATGTACAGTAAACTAGCTGACAAAGGAAAGCCAATGACAGGCTGACAGTGGAACTCCCGCCTCGAGTCTATCGACGCTTCATTGTGTTTGTATTTTATGGAAATCTGTGGTTGCTGGATGACAGGCACATGTATAGGCAAAATATTAGTAAATAAAGTATAAAAAATGAAGAAAATTAAAAATCAAAAGTTATTAATTTGATAATTATATATAATTTAAATAAGCTTATGATTAAATCACTTATCTATAAAAAGTTATACAAGCTAGTTCGCTCTAAAATGACAAATGACAGTCTTCAATCAGATCAATTTTCCAGCTAACTCTCTTCCAATCCTATTCGTACAATCACTAATGTTATTTCATTAAATATTATATGACTGACTAACTATCTGTAGCATATGCTTATGACATGATATTGCAGTGCTATTAGACTGACCACAATTGTGCCAACATACCCATGTGCAAATGTAGTTGCCACTGCTTTAGTGTCGAGTGTTGTCCACTTAATTGAGGAAATATCAAATTATGTACGAGCCAGTGGCGCATCATCATCATCACTCAACCAGCCATTGTGTCCCCAACTTGCTTGCAATTAGTCATTGCATTTACTCATTGTCCAGTTTATTTGTTTGGTTTACTTCTGTGGCGATAAGAAGAACTCGTAGTTGCTGCTGCCGCTTCTTGTTTCCTGCAGCAACTAAAAATAATCAGAGATCCGACCCACGCAACGCTTCTTTCCCCGCTTCCCATCGCCTTGTTTTGCTCCAATTTCGAAATGTCAAAATATGGCGGGTTTATTTTGGGAATCCCATACACATTTTCGAGCAATTGAAAAACGATGAGAAAGACCCCCATTAGAAGTTGAAGGCAAAGAAAGTATAAATAAAAACGAATCATTTAGTAAACATTTTAATGTCATGACTTAAATTTGTTATTTTTTATAGGATTTTTTTAAGCAGAATTCATAAAAAATAAATTTCAAAAAAATATTTAAAAAAAGGTTAAGCAGAAACAGTTTGTAAAACTATGGTAATAAGTAAAGTTAGGTTACCCTAGGACTTCTACGATTACTCATTCAATTAACCCCTGGTTAAGTACCTCAGCCCTTTATGGGAGCCGTTAAATGCTTTTCCCGCCAGCCTAGCAGTCATGTCGCTTATTTATTGATTTACAATTTTACATACCTGTGTTTGCGCAGGCAATGTGCACAGGTGCATGTTTGGTTTCGAAACAGAAAACATTCAGGTGAGTGAGACGATCCAGACGAACCAGCCAACATCGGCCGAAATAAACATGCGATTGTGTATGCAAGACATCGCCTTTGAACATTTTTTTTTTTCGTTCCGATTCGGCCACAATAGATGAGAGACATGGCCCAAAGTGTGGGTACTCTGTAGTACATCACATCGCCATAATGATGAAACCCGCCCTATGAAGACATGTGGTGCATTATAAGCGTTTGCAACATTGTGTTAACCGTTACCATAAAGTTCAAGAACTTGACGCTTTTCTAACTGCAAAGGCATTGTAGTTTGAATCGAAATCGGTCTCCCTTTGGCATTAACCCGCTTGAACATCGGGGGCACAAAAACTCCATTCACAATAGAAGCTGCAATTGCGAGGCATTAGTCTGCTAATAGAGAAAACCTGTGTTCAATATAGTAATTGCAGCGCAGAAGTAGAAGCAGCAGTTACAAGGAAGGGTAAAATAGTAGCATTTAAAAATGAAATTCTTGAAAATGCTTTAAAATAAAGATTTCTTTTTAATTTGTTATCATATGTTCAGGAATATATAATTGCGTAATTAAATTTTCACAACCCAAAACAGGATATATTAGTGGGTGCTATTATTTTAACCGCAATTGTTTACAAAGTACTAGGCAAAGCACTTGCATAGATAAATTTACGATGCAAATTGCGGCAGGCATAAACGGCAACACCAATAACAATGGCCAGCTGACCCCGTTATTTGTTGAACTGTACACGAAAAAACGATAAAGAAAATGAAAATCGCATGCATATAGCATATAGCATATGGCCCTGCCACAACAACAAAGAAGATCGCCCAACATGCAATGGGGCAGAAAAATGTACGACACCCCCGAAAAGCTCGGAGTGTGAAGTTGTTCGATTCATTGGAATGAAAACAATCAATAAAAATTAGGCTAAATCCGGTGGGAAGCTGTGGGAGGTTTTTGGGGCTTGAGGCAGGAAAGGTTGGTGTTGCCACAGATAAACAGCAGGTGTTTGGAGTATAAACATGGCAAGCATTTATTTACATTTTTTCTGTTTATAAGGAAAAACTGCAAAAAATAGATGTTTTAAATATCTAATATTTTGAAAATGCTACTTCTGGATATCATTTTTCTGTACTTATAAAATACGATCTGTATGCATATTGTTGTAATCCCACCCACGAGTTTAACCCCAGTTCCTAATGTTAAGTTGATTAAAAATGATTTGATAAACACAAGCAGCGGCGTCTTGATTAATTGAATTGAACAGCTGAAGTAGTTGGCATGTCGGTGTCTATTGTCAGATGAAGACCACACCACCGGCAATTGAAACGAAAGCCAGACAACAACACCTCGATTAATACGAAAGAAAACAACGAGAAACCGTCAGGCGAAAAGCAAAAGTGCCACCAATTGTCACATTGACGCAACTCGAGGCTGAAGAAAAGAGTGCAATTGAAGTTAATTAAAGAGACGATAGCGTAACACTGGCCACCGTTAATTGCCCATCTGGGATGGTGGCCAAAATGCGATGTGATGGTGACACCTAACCATCATCGCACCAGACACGCCTGAGATGATACCATTTTCATTGCATCTTGGCTAATTACTTTCACTCTCTTTTTCTTTTTCTTTACTCACAACAAACAAACACACGCAATTTGTCGATATGGATTCAATTATTTATGAAACGAAAGCGAAACTTCAATTGCTCGGTTGTAATCTAATAGATACTATTTCGTCATTAGGTGGCGGCTTCTAGGCAAGCGAGAAATCGAAACTGAAAGTTGCGACTATTGGGTAACGCCAAGGTGTATGTATCCGTTCGTGGGTAATGGGTATTTATTGTCATCTGAGTGGCTGTGAAGTTGCTGCTTCCTTTGGCTGCGTATTTTTAGCTAGAGCCCCAACTAGTTTAACTAGTTTGGATGATAATGATGATGATCATCATCAGTATATGCATCCTTCGACTAGCTTGCAAGGTCGCTGGTTTTGGAGCCTGTGCAACTAGTTTCCGCAACATGGTCGTCAAGTGATGTTGCTCATGTTGCTAATGTTGCTCATCTGCCGCCCGCAGCAACACGCGATTTATCCAGACGACAGCGCGTGCTTCTTGCGTTTTCTCTTTTAATATATTACACAATTAGATAGTAAATGGGCTTTATTTACATTTCCATCGCCATTTCCTGCCAAACACTTTGGCGGAAGCTCAAACTTTTGACTCGCCGATTTCGGTCGTCGAACTGGCGATAGATAAACGGGAATCGTGAGGGAAATTCTCCAAAAATATGTTTAAAGGGTAAATAGAAGTATATCAGCTTATATGGCAATGACTTACATTACTTTTCTATGTACAAAATTGAAAGATGAACATTTCATTGTTATTGTGAATCATCTAATTTTTTTCTAGTTGATTTCGATTTATAAATAGAAAACTTCAAAAACAATGAGACATTTTTAATAACCTAATCATACTAAACAATAGAATATTAGCATATGAAAAATGATTTTTATTTACAAACAAATTTAATTATTTTGTTTAAGCTTTTGACTTTGATATCTTATCTTACATAAGTGAAAATCACCATATGAACTGCTCTATGGCAAACAATTTAAGACAGCTACTTTGGTTTGCAGATTACAGACATGAGTTCGTGTAATTTATGGGTCGACTCCTCATCGGTGCTATTGTTTTGCCCGCCGCTGTTGTTTGCAAATTTAGCATGAAATTGGGTTGCTTGCCAACCATAATCCCCTGCCTCCCACAATTTTCGCATCGCAGACATCGGGCCACGCGACCTCTGACGCCAGTGCGCCCACGTTTGCATTATCGATTGCTAATCCCCGACATTGGGAGTCTCGTGTCTTGCGGTTGGTCAATGACCAGTGACATTTCTCTGCATTCTCAACATTCTCCCTTCCTCCGATTCTAAGAGTGCTGACTAATTGATTTGCATTTGTTATCTTTTTTTTTTCAGGTACGATTTGGCTCGCGATGGTTTTTTGGACCTGCAGGAACTGAAGTTTATGATGGAGAAGCTTGGTGCACCGCAGACTCATTTGGGACTCAAGCAGATGATTGCCGAGGTGGATGAGGATAATGACGGCAAGATCTCGTTCCGGGAGTTCCTGTTGATCTTCAGGAAGGCTCAGGCCGGAGGAATTGGACTCCGACTCCGGGTTGAACCAGCTGGCCCGCCTCACCGAGGTTGATGTAGATCAAGTGGGTGTAAGTGGAGCCAAAAACTTCTTTGAGGCGAAAATTGAGCAACAACTAAGGACGAACAAGTTCCACGACGAAATCCGGGCCGAGCAGGAGGAACGCCGACGCGAGGAGGAGGAGCGGGCCCAACGGCGCCAACAGTTTCAGCAGAGGGCGGCGATCTTCCAGTAGAGGATCCATATTTTCCTCCGTAGTCTAGCGCGTAATTATCTGGCGTAGGTTAATCGAATGAGGAACTAATCCCGGGAGAAGAGAATACGCTTCGTACAAGCAGCAGGCATTTTTCAAGCATCACATACATTAATAATATCCATACTTATCGTCCCATATATAACTCGATTTGCTGGTTAAAAAATCTTGGGAATTGAATGCTATTTTTGAAAAAAAAAAAAATATATATTTTGGTTTAACAAACAACCTACATATAACGTACATCAAGCATCATCCAAACATAACGTTCAATTTCTAAAATATATTTTTCTAAATCCAACCAAATTGAGCCACTCTAGCCACAACATATAAGCATACATACGTACATAAATAACGATCATACCAAAAGCGTATTTATAGTTAACCTTTATTTAAGTGAAAAATGTTTTAGCCTAAGACCTATTTTTTATTGTTTGGTGTTGCGCAAAATTTCTTTGTTGAATTACGTTTACCCTCGACGGTTATCCAAAATGTATGTTTCTTTTAATTTATGATTTTTTGTACTTTTAGTGCCATTTTTATTTTCTTCGTTTTAATTTTGTTAATAACAAAAAAGGAAATCGATAGTTATGTTAAGCAAATTAATTCGCGAAATTCAAACTTCTTTGTACATACTATACCTATGTTGGCAGTCAATCTTAGTTTCTGTTGTATCAAGCTGAAATAAATAATTAAGTTTCGATTCAGTATTTCACGTTTAAAGTTAGCAATTAAAGCAATACTAATGCGTTAAATACGAATACACAAGAAAATACACGTACTTTTAGAGAGCGTTTACTACAAACTTATACTGCAATTTAAATAAATAAATGTATATAATACAAAACAATCGAAATCGTCTTTATTTTGCTTGATTGTCGTACACGTTATGGCGATTTATCATTTGTTGTGTCCTCCAAATAAAACTTTATTACGAAACCTTGTTCCCGATTAGTCAAGCGTCAATCCAAAGTGTTGATACATAGAATGACTCGATTTACTGTACCCTTAGTAAGCACCGATTTCCTTCCCGCTGCGAGCTCTTCATCACCTTGCGGGCTATAGTATGAGACCACCAGCTAAGAACCCCATGGAGTGACTTTATCCAAGAATTTGGTTGGCCGTAAGTAGTTCATGTGTTGATAGAGCATCTATAAAAAATATTTTAAATTTTATTTTATTACACATTTTATTTTTAGTTTCAAGTACTTAAAAGACTTACCTTATAAGATCATAGCATCTGACCTAGCCAATGTTGCCACTAAGGAACGCTTTCTCTTTTCCATTTATCAGTTATTTCCTGACTTCCTGTTACTCCCCGGCAGTTGGTCCTTTTCGAAGGGAATGTCTACACCTCAGCATATCGCATTTCAGGGCGTAGCGATGCTGGCAGACAGGACACTCATGCGGCTTGAGCTGCAGGTGGTAGCCCTTAATGTGTTGAGATAGACCGTTTCGCCGCTTGAAAACCCTGTCGCAGATGCCGCACTTGTGCTGCCGCTCCGTCGAGTGTGTAATATTATGCTGGCGGAGTCCGTTCAGCGATCCAAATGACTTTTTACAAATATTGCAAGCAAAAATCTGAATAGGCGTAACTTTCTTTTTTGAATTATTCGACATCTGGACCCTTGTTTTCGATTTTCTGGGCCTGCAATTGAGTTCATGACGACGATACAGGCGCCAATGGGCAAAGGCGATGGCCTGGCAGTGACGGCACTTGAAGCTCTGAAGACGCCGATGGTTTTTAAGCGACAATGATTGACAAATGTATCGCATATGCTGGCGAAGTCCCAACCGGGATCGAAAGAGCTTTAAGCAACCACAACAACGTCCCGCAAAGCTTGGTATTAACTTTACAAAGTGTGTCTTCAACCGACGGTGGTAATGTAACTTCCTGAAACTAGTAAATCCTCCCTTACATATCCGACAAATGTAAGATTTTCTGGCCCTCTTCTTACGACTTTTCATATTTTTACATTTCAGCTGCAATTGGCGATATCTAACAGCCAACTTAGCATAGTTTGCAGTCACTGCAGCCAGTTGAGGATCAGGAGCAGGTGCTGTTAAATGAGTGGCCGTCGGTATAAGATCTTTGTGATGAAGGAAACTACTCTGCATGTCCAGAATATCAATCTTTTTTCTGGGTTGAGTTGAGATAGGACTATTTTGCCACTCTGACTGCCAGTAATCTAGTTGCTCAGTTGCCACAAAACCCCTGTTGCCCTCTAGTTTCATCGGTGGGTTAACTGTCAAGCTGGGCAGACTAATATTCATCGGAGGAACGCTGACCATGGGCGTGGAATTACTGTGACTATGGGTATAATGCTGATTTAAGCTATCTATAGTTATAAATTTAGCAGTGCATAAGGTGCAATTGTGAAGCCGAAAGGCCGCTGAGGATTCGACAACACTATCGTTTAGCACAACAATGTTGGGTTTAACAGATGTTGGAGGAGCAGGTGGTGGCAGCAGTTCGCAGATCATAGGGTTTGGTATTTGGCTAACATTAGTCACAATAGGCTTGCATGAGCGAGGAACTGGAGCAGATAGAGGAGGTATAAGATCATGAACAGCTGGTGGATCGGCAGAAGGAGGAGCAGTATCTGGAACAGGCTCTGCACCCTCCACCTTTTCCGTTTTATACTGATGTGGAGGCAGTTGCCATTCTTCTTTGGCATAATTATGTTCTTCGGTCAAAAGTTCGTTCTGTAGCATTTCATTAGCCGGCCTAAGAGGTTGTGATCTCTCCGACTGCCCTACATCCGCATCGTCCGGAATATTGATAAACGGATCATCTAGATTGATAATCTCCATGATATCACAATTGTTAATAATGTCTTGCGAATTTAACATTGGAAAATCACAGAACTGGAACTTTTGTTCCGTTTCCTCCTGATCGCAACCCTCGTCCTGTTCCAAGCCCATGTCCAGCTCATCAGGAAACAGGTTATCCAGACTCTCGCAGGCTTCCTGTTTCACGCGGACAAAGGGTTCCTGTTTAATCTTCAGCTGGCGGCGATATTTCCTTTGCAACTCACTTTGCGTCACCATTACCACATCGATGAACTGTGAAAAGCGCTCCAGTTGTAGACAGCACTCCTTGCATATATCCTTGGGCAATGTGTCGTCCTGCAGGATCTGCAGTGTGGGGAAGCACTTCTGAATCATGCCAAAGAGCTCGAAACTTTTGTCAAATGAGGAGCAATTTGTGGCAGAGGTCCCACAAAAGCGGCAAGTAGCCTTAACACCTGTTGCTGGCGATTCAGCGGCACTAGCCAGGGTCTGTTTGTGAATGGGCCTACTACTCGGGGACACTTGCTCCACGTGTACATTTAGGGATTCCTCATCTGACACTCTGACCGAAGGCACGGCATTCTTTTTAAGCGTTTTCCTGTTATTGCTGCAATTAAAGTCCTCATCAACAAAGTGTCGGCTACACACCGCACTCCATTTAGATGGCATCCATTGACCACTCCGCTGGGTAAAGTCCTTCCACTTCTGGAGGAGGTCTTTCCTTTTAAAGGGAAATCTTAAAGGGATAAGGAGGTATGGTTAAAATTTTATAAACAACCTGTATAAACTAACCTGTGAAAGGAAATGCTACCGGCGTGCACATATTTATGACTGCAATTTATTACGGCGCAGTGGGCCGGCATCTTAAGATGTTATTACTCAAATTATTAAAAGAATTTGTCTATTTACTTTAATAAACCAGCTACTGTTTATAAATCAGCTGTTTATGTTTTTATTTTGCGTTATGCAGTGCTGAAAAACGTTTCGCAGTCTTTGTTGACAATGGTATTTTTGGCTGTTTGGTGTCCTAAAGACACGGACTTCGTTAAAAAAAAAATGTATGAAATGTATAAATGATTATCAAATTACTTCATTTAAATTTCCTTTGAATTTTTAATATATAAATTATAGCTAGATTTAGAGTTGTCTAATAGCCTGTTGGCAGCATTACCAGCTGGTCACATTAAATCTTATCAAAAAATCGAACAGCTGACGCATACGTCCGCCCCCAACCACCCCCTCGTCAATGTTATCCGTCACACTTATCAATTAGCGCGTTTATGACACTCCCCTGCCCCCAAAAAACGCCTAGATGTTCGGCTCGTGAACATATTTATTTTCTCTCGCCACACGGAAAACTTCCACAGGCTTTAGTCTGTAGATTCGCGTTGGGGCGGTCTGTACGCATTTTGGCGGAGAAGTAAGCAAGGTCAATCAAGGTCTTTCTTTTGGCTAGCGTTTAATCCAGTTCTAAGTGTGTGCGCGGGTGGTGAAAGGAGAAAGTAAGAGAAATGGCTCAGATGCGACTATTTGTGCAGGGAATTCGGAGGGTACTGCCCAATGTGGGCGTAGCCACACCTCAAGAGACCGAAACGACCCAGAAAAGATTTCAGCACAGCTCGTCGAACTGCAGGTAAGCCACAATAGATTTCGATAAGATTCTCTCAATTTCGCAGGTGTTCCGGTTTTCAGATTCTCTTGACTGTTTGCAGAGTAACTTTTAGATGTTCCCAAAAAAAAGGTCTAATACTGAAGAGATCATTTTTAACTCAAAAATAAAAATTGTAAATTAAAAATAAGGATTTTAGAAGAGACAAAGAAGAAGATAACGTGCCTTTGAAATTCAAACAAATAATGGTGTGATAATTGTTTTTACTTTTCTCTTTCTTAGAGATTATGATCTAGTTGTCGTTGGAGGTGGGATTGTGGGAGCTGCTTCAGCGCGAGAGATTCTTCTGCGTCATCCAACCCTGAAAGTGGCAATCTTGGAAAAGGAGAATCAGCTAGCAAAGCACCAGAGTGGTCACAACTCCGGAGTGATCCATGCTGGTATCTATTATAAACCTGGAACCCTGAAAGCCCGCCTTTGTGTGGAGGGTATGCATTTGGTCTATGCTTATTTGGATGAAAAAAAAATTCCGTACAAGAAGTGCGGCAAACTGATTGTGGCTACGGATGAGAAAGAGGTAAAATTGCTGGGAGATCTTGAGAAGCGTGCCATTGCCAACAATGTTCCGGACCTGAGAATGATCGAAGGCTCTGAAATCCAGGAGATTGAACCTCATTGCAAGGGTCTTAAAGCTCTCCACAGTCCACACACGGGAATTGTTGACTTTGGATTAGTAACCGAGCATTATGGCCAGGATTTCAAACAATGTGGTGGTCACATCTACCTCGGTTTCAATGTTAACAAGTTCACCGAGACTAAGGAGGGAGCCGATTATCCAGTGACTATCCATGGTGCGGTACCTGGTCAAACGGTTCGTACTAAGAACGTTCTGACCTGCGGTGGTTTGCAATCCGATTTGCTAGCGGAGAAGACAGGTTGCCCAAGGGATCCTCGAATTGTACCTTTCCGCGGAGAGTACTTGCTGCTGTCTAAGGAAAAACAACATATGGTCAATGGAAATATTTATCCAGTGCCAGATCCCCGGTTCCCCTTTTTGGGAGTACACTTCACCCCTCGGATGGACGGATCCATCTGGCTGGGTCCAAATGCCGTCCTAGCTCTTAAAAGAGAAGGATACACGTAAGTCCAGTTCTTCGAATTATTACAATGGCCTTACTGATAATTTATTTTTTAGCTGGGGCGACATTAATCTTTTCGAGCTGTTTGATGCCCTGCGTTATCCAGGCTTTGCGAAGATGGCCAGCAAGTACCTTGGCTTCGGTTTGAGCGAAATGTCCAAGTCGTGGTTTATTAACCTGCAAATTAAGGCGTTGCAAAAGTATATTCCAGACATCACGGAATATGACATTCAACGCGGTCCCGCCGGAGTACGTGCTCAGGCTATGGACTTGCAGGGAAACTTTGGTAGACGATTTTGTGTTTGATCGCGGTGAAGGATCGGGACCGCTGGCCAAGCGTGTTCTTCATTGTAGAAACGCCCCATCGCCGGGTGCCACTAGCAGTCTGGCCATCGGAAAAATGATCGCTGACAAGATCGAGAATGAATTCTCCATCGGCAAGTGATAGTTAGTATCCTACCGAAAACCTAAGCAATAGTCCAAAGCTTCATCCACCATCAACGGCCTCGTATCCAAATTTATTTCCAACTTCTGCTTTTATGGTGTCAGTTATACTGAACTGTGTATGTCTCGCATTTCGTGTAAATTTTAAAGTAAATATCTCTAAATTGTATAAAGTAAATAAAAAATTGTATATTTTATATATATAAATTAAACTTTAATTCAGCTCAAGAATGTGGCTGTTTTTCCTTTGAGAAGAAACATCGTCTTTGATGCCCAGTACCTTAATCTGTTTTTGTAACGATATCTCCGCCAAGCTGGATTGAATCATATTTCGACACTTCGCATTTAATATTTTCAGCCCATTGGCAGCATGCAGTCTCATTTGTGAGTCACATGACTCCTCCGCTTCGATGGCTCTTAAAAGTCGATAAATGGGTAGAAGCATTTCTTGATAGTCCAGTAGATTCTCCATTCCATTTAATAGTTCAGTTAAGACCAAGACAGCTGCTCGCTTAGCGGGCACATAGCTACCGGTTGTTAATTCATTATTCACCAGTTGGAGAAGCTCCTGGAAGAAGTTCTGCACTTGATAGGCCAACAGTCGACAAAGCTGGGCGAGATTAGCGAATGCTGACATTCGGAATTCGTTAACAGGAGACCGGGTTCCCTGCATGAAGCAATTAAGGAGAACAGCCTTGTACCGATAGCAAAGTGGACCTAAAAAGGATTGACGTCACATTATATCAAAGCAAAATTTTTGATTGCCCATAACTCACCTAACTCCTGAGCTACTTTTAGTAGAGCTTCCCCCACTACCAGACGGTAGTCCAATTCCGCCGTCTCTGAGAGGTATTCTTCACTTAGCTTGTCCAAGACTTCTGACTCCATAACATAAACAAGCGAAACAAAAAGCCGAACACAATTAAGGAAAGTATAGGATTCCTTCTCCTTAAGAGTGGTCAGAGCTAAAGCTATTATAAGATGACCCTGCGACATAGTTGCTGGATCTTTCTTCTTAAGCAACTCCATCATCAACTGAATGCCGTATACCTGAAGATGGGATTGCTTTTCTTCTATCAGGGACCGAGCTTTTTGAAATGGTTGCACTCTGAGAGCTTCGCTTGGTTTCCATGTTCCTTCGATTATTTTAAGCAATGCTCTTACAGATTCCTGTATGAGAGAGTTGGAGGAGTGAGAACCTAAGTGCTCCAGTTGTTTTTTGAGTTCTTTGCTGCCCTCTGACATCCGAAGATCCTCACTACCCTCAAGAAGTTCCTGAAATAGGTTAAGTACGAGGAGTACGATATGGTCCGTTGTTTCCGTGTCACCAGATCGGTGAAGCAAAAATGTTTTTAGTATAAACAAGAACTCCTTGGTATGCAAGGCAAGTTGAGCTCTCAACGGTTGGTGGGAAACCATTTGGTTAAGGGCAATAAGTAAATTCAGCTTTAGTTGGTACTTGGTGTGCAAAAAGTCTTTGAGCTCCGTTTCCGATGAAATAAAATCTACACTCGCTGAAGACTTCTGCTGTAACTCGTTACCCATGAAGCTTAAAAGAGCCAGGAAAACATTACAGGTGAGTGAATGATGAGAACTGGATATAAGCAGTCCAGGCAATATCCTGCTGATATCATGATCCACTTGGTGATCCATATGAGCGACTTTAACTTGAATTTGTTTTGAGTTCGTGGAAGGCAGAATGAGAATGCGTTGGTGAAAACATTTCCAAGGAGGTTCTTCTTTAACTTTCCATGTAAACAACCTTTTAAGTATATAAGGCAATTCTTTGTCACTCTCTCTGTTATCCAGACAACGACAGATGATGCCAGAAAGTTGCGATGATGCGGGTAATTCCAAAGGTAAGCTATCATAAAGTTGGAGGAGCAAAGGAAGGTAGGGAATTATTAGGATACTGGGCAAGCAAGCCACGCTAGACGAACAGAAAAGTTTGTGCCACAAGAGGATGCGATTGCAGATTTCCTGGTGATCCATTAGAATAAGGCCACTAATAACATCTTCTGGGTTTATAAGCGTTTCCCAGTGACTGGATAATATCTCTTCTATTTGCTTTTGATTTGTATCATTTAAATCGTATAGTCTTCTAAGGGATAGGACACCGGGACACATTTTGTCCACATCCTGAAGATAGAATTTACAATACTCCAGCACTTGAAGAATCATCTTCTCTTGGGCAAGTGGCGAGAACCCTTTCCTAGCCACAATACTAGCAACTATTTCCGCATTTCTTGTAGGACTCACATTAGGAGTTTGTTGAAGTGCATCCACAAAACTGGCAAATCCTTGGGGGGAGTTTAACTTTCCTAGAAGTTGATGGTGCAACAATTTAGCCAACGGAGTGCAGAGAGGTGTAGCTTTTAAAAGCAAGATGTGGCGGAAGAAATCTGATTTTGATTCATGTTGCCAGAGGTAGGATAAAGCATTATCCAGGTGGGTAGAATCATCGTGAACACGTAGACTCATGATGGCCGCCAAAAGATCCCTTTGTACCAGCTCCATGGAGTTAGCTATGTGAAACTGCCGGATAGGCAGTATACTTACAAAAAATTGAATGCTTAAAAGTAACAAGGAAAGATTGGACTTAACTTTCCCTTGCGCTTCATGAAAAATGGGGGACTTATAGAAATCATCATGCAGTTGACATCGAAGTGAATAATAGGATAACTCCTGAGTAGCTTGGATGCAAAGTTTGAGGTGCGCTACCGATATAAGATCCTCCTTGGCGTCGCTATGGAAATTAATGTTTTTCGTGATCGAATGCAGAACATGTTGCAGTCTCACTATGTACGAAATAATGGGTTCAATTCCGGAAACTATACTGGTTTCCTGTTTGATTGTTAAATGATATTCGTCGCATAATTCATGCAACTGCTGATAAACATCAAGTTTGGCATATTTTTCAAAAACAAGAAGGTTATTTTCCACGGTGTTAAGAGTCTCGGAGTTTTCTGCATTATTTGCTGCAATGATACTGTTTCTAATTATTCTTTCTCAAATAATATTGTTAATCAAGTACCTAGTGCTTTATTAAACTTTAAACTCTCTAAAAGAGCAAAGTATTTGACTGTATTTATCATACTTATCACAGCTAATCAAAGGTTGGCAAAATGAACATGTGTTGGAGATGAGTGTTTACAATAACACAAGTGCAATCGATAACATAAACATAATGGTGAGAAAGTGTTGGCAGCATAGCTACCTTAAGTCTAAAGTATTTTTCTGTCTAACTTAGCTATAACTTAAGCACACCTTAAGTAGTAAAAATAGATATGTAATAAATTTAAAGAGTCGATTACTCTTAGAACTAATTAATTTCATGAAATAAATATAAACTTTTAAACGAAATAATTCAACCCTGCATTTTAGTTACTTCATGTCAACCGATAGACGGCTGCACTGGCGACGGATTGCGCATCTAACTGCAGCAGACTGCTCTGGTCACACTAGCATACGAACATCTTAACAAGAGCAGCAGGAAAATCGAACAACTTTCTTTTTCCCCTGCATTGTGTGTGTGCATGCAAAAACACAAAGTGCGCAAAATAGCTTAATTCAGCTAACCGACTTGACTCGAACGTGGATAAATTGGCTTGCGGCACCGACGCTCCGCCAACCGTCAGCCGCCCCCGCAAAAAAATTGCCAAAAACACCTACGCGCAGGCAATTAAGACCGTGTGATATTGTGTGCGTGAGCTCGCGAGTGTGTGTGTGCGTAGTACTGCTGGGCAGTAAACATTTTCTGGTGAAAATCGGGGGAAAATGAAGAAAATCCTGTCCAAGTTTGAGCGCAATGAAAACTCGCGACTGGAGAATCCGCCCAACAGCAGCAGCTCGTCGTCCTCGAACGAAAAAAACAGCTTTGTGGGCAAGGTCTTCACAGTGGGACGCGTCACGGTCACCGTGGAGGATGTCCTGGCAGAAGGTACACATCCTATATTATCTATCTATGTCCACATTTCCCCTATCTACCAACACGTAGAGCTGCGATTATGCTTATCACCTGGCTGATTTACAGGTGGGCAGCAGCCTACATGCCCTCTTTCTCGTTCCTCCCTCCGTCAGATTAGATAAAAAAAAATCGAGAATTCCCAAATGTGGGGCGTACACAAACCGCTAAAGAGCATAAAAATCAGCTGCGTATCCACTTAATTTGGGGCGCCACTTGTCGCGTTTCCGATAATACGTACTGTTGAAATTAACTAACTCAAACCTATAGAATATTTTGGAATACCTCTTTCAAAATTAAAATGTACTTTTATATTGAAAAATATTATTTGTTTTAGGTACATGCTAACAAAATCCAGTGCCTGATATATTTACACTTTTAACATAACAACTTCTATTCATATTTGTTACAAATTTAAACTAGTTATGTGCAAAAATAACTTGAACTTTGTCATTTGACCCTGAAAGACCCAAAGCTACCAAATAATTGCCTTGCAATTTTCAGCCTTGGCACAGAATTATGCCCAAAACTCGAGTTTTTAATGGGTTGCAGAAAGCTATTAAGTCTAAATGCGTTTGAAACTGTAAAAAGTTTTTTGGTAAACCCAAAATGGGTTTTCATGTTAGAGAAGTCAGACTGTACAAACCCAGTCACAGTTCTGGTTGGTTTTCCCCTGAAATAACCATAGAATTCCCGTAGCCACTACACATGGCTACAAATCAATTGAATCAATTATGTTAATTTAGCCAATGAAGCGGCAAGACCAACACTCAACTGCCTTCATCTGCCGACTGTCTCCCTGTTTTGAGTTTTCCACCTTTTGCCTAGCTAAATGGCAAAGTTCGCCCCTAAGGAAATCACCAGAGCTTTGTCCTTGTCCTTGAAATGTGGAGTGCACCATATCCTGCAGTACAAGTGCCTCCTCTTGGGCTTGGCACAAACACCCGCCATCTAAGATTTGATCATCTCAACGATTGCTCACACAATGCCTTCCTTTCCATTTTCTACCATTCCTTTAGCCATTACGTAGTTGTTTTTTACTTTTATACTTTTGGCAAGCGGACTCGATTCGTAATGTTGTTTTGCGCTGCGCTGGCGCCGCTGTCAGACAGTCAGCTGTTGTCGGGAATACCCCGTAAAGTATTTTGATGGAGTATATCCAGTTACAGATACATCGAAAAAAACAAATTTGCATTAAAATTTCATTCAACAAGGATAATTATTGTTTATTTTTCCAAAGAAATGTTAAATCGTATCTGAATTTTTAAAGGGAATAAAAGCTTCGGTATTAATACATTAATAAAGCTGGTAAAGTTTTGATATTTATTGAGATGTTAATTTTGTCATATGAATGATATCGATAAATGATATATGACTATCTCTACAGTAACACAGTGCTTAATCACCTTTAATTTTGTACACCTGCTTTCTTTTAACTTAACTTTTGAGCACCCAACAAGACAGCCCCAATAGCAACAAAAATTACAAATGACTAAGCGACAAACGGTTAACGAGTGGAGCTTTCCCCTTGTCCCACCTTAACCCCTTTAAGCCCACTTTGCATTTAACTCCCCTTTCCAGCCACTTTTTTTTACCCTCGTTTGCGTTTTAAATTGCCTTCTCAAGTTTTCTCGCTTCGCTACAATTGTGCATTGTTATTTTTGCTTTCATACTATTATTAATGTATGTTGTTTTTGTTGTAGCTTTTTGCCAAAGTTGATTTGTTGCTGTTCGCTGGCAACCTTCAGCATTGATTAACATTTGACGCCATAATTTCACAAAGTCGAGCAAAAATCAAGCAAAAACGGTTACATTCGTTTGTCCGCTATTCATTTCTCTACAACTTTTACACTGATAAATATGCTAGCAACATTCCTAAAGTATGTTGACAATAAATAAGAAAACTATTTGTTTCTGTATATAAATTTGGTTTGAATTGGTTCTTTATGAAAATCTAAAAACTAAAATCTATTTCAGTAAATAAAATATATTAATACCCTATATATGAAAATTGTATTTTTCGCAGTGCCCACGCTCCCTACTTTTCTCACCCCTCGATCTTCCCCCGCTGAGTATTGTTATTGTCGCATGTTATTGTTGTTATTTCTGTACGTGACCTTCAATAGTTTAGTTTATATTGCGTTGCCTTTTTATCGTACATTTTGAAGTGGCGCAAAGCGACAGGTGAAGAGGGGCTGAACGTAGATGGGCAGGGGGCGAGAGCGGTTCTACTTGAATTCTATATGCAATAAAATGAAATAAACCTCATGCAAATCGTCTGTTAGGCAAAAACATGTGTAAATCGTTCCATGGCCAGACAGTAACTGCTATCGTTCGAATTGAGATACCCTATATCCTGAGTAACAATGAGTGCATATTTGCACTGCACACAAGTGAACGTAAAATATATCAGAGAATGGAATTAGATGTGGATCACGTAGTTGTCGTGAACTGAGATATACAATACAGACTTTAATTCTGTTAATACTCATTGGTTAGAACTAAAAAATAGTTTAATAATCATTGCCTTTTTTACTTTGACTGTTAAGAACTCCTATTAAAGCTTTTGTAATTACTGGGTATTAATCATGATGTGTTTTCCTGAAATGTATTCCTCTCGTTGATATATGCTTTGCTGTTTACAGTTGACAGCTGTTGTGAATGTCTAGACCATCAACTTACCCCCACTAATGCTCGGTTTTTCTCTACCCCATCTCCTCAAAAACTCACGCAGGTGGTTTCGCCATGGTCTTCTTGGCCAGGGGCAATGGCGGCGGAAGCTCTTCGGCGACCAAGTACGCCCTGAAGCGAATGTACGTCAACAATGAGCACGATCTGAATGTAGCCAAGCGCGAGATACAGATTGCGGTAAGTAAATAAGTTAGGACAAACATACCTAATCTAATAAAACATTCACTTTCACTAAACCAGAGCAACCTGAGTGGGCACAAGAATATCATCGGTTATGTGGACTCGAGCATTACGCCTACCGGGAACGGTGTGTGCGAGGTGCTCCTCCTGATGCCATACTGCAAGCATCACATGCTGGCCATGATGAATGCAAGGTAGGTCAATTGAATTAATTAATCAAATTAAATCTAATTTAATGTAATTGCCCACAGATTACACGTTGGCTTCACGGAGCCCGAGGTGCTCAACATATTCTGTGATATTGCCGAGGCGGTCTCCCGATTGCATTACTGTCAGACCCCGATCATCCACCGCGATCTTAAAGTGGAGAACATCCTGCAGACGGACGCTGGCAACTTCGTTCTCTGCGACTTTGGTTCGGCAACGGCTAAGACGCTTAATCCTCAGCAGCACGGAGTAACAGTAGTCCAAGAAGAGATCCAGAAATATACCACTCTTTCTTATCGAGCTCCCGAGATGATTGACCTGTATGGAGTAAAGAGCATAACCACCAAGGCGGACATCTGGGCACTGGGTTGTATGCTCTACAAGCTGTGCTTCTTTTCCTTGCCTTTCGGGGAAAGCACACTTGCCATTCAGAATGGTCAATTCTCCATTCCCGACACCTCGAAGTACTCGAAGGGCATGCATCAACTGATTAAATATATGTTGGATACGGATATGGAGAAGCGTCCAAACATTTGGCAAGTCTGTGAGGTGGCCTTTCGATTGGCTGGCAAGGATAATCCCGTTCAGAATCTGCATGTAAGTACTGCCGCATTTCTGTTGTTGAAATTCGTTAAATATTATATTTATTTTTTATTTTCATTAGAAAACTCCCATTCCAAACTTCGATCTGCTGGTAGTTCCTCCGTTTGAATCGGAGGCCAAGAGGATCAGTGCAGCAGCATCAAAGGCAGCTAAGGCTCAGAATGTTTCTGTTGTTGAGGCGGGCACCAGTGTAGCTCCTCGGTCTCGGCCTAAGGGTTCATCCTCGGTACATGGAGGGAATCCTTTGGGTCTCGGCTTGCCTCCAAGTCCCTCTCCAAGACAGAATATCACCTCCCCACAGCCTCAGCCTCAACCTGTGGTAGAACAGTTCCAGGCCAACTTCCCAGCCATGCCACCAGCTGTTCCGCCATCATCACAGGCTGTAACTCCGGCAGCTCCTGTTGCTAATAATCTTTTCGAGACTAGCGGCTATCCGGATCCTTTTAATGAGCCTGATACGTCGACAATTCCAGCTGAATTTATACCAGCAGCAGAAGAGCCGAGAAAGGAGGAAGTGCCTCAGGACACGAATGTCACTGGTGGCACGCCTACAAAAATATGCTAACGCCTCCAAAACCTAGTGGAGGCGGTGGTCATAGACGAAACGTTAGCGACACCTCGGCCTTTAATAAGTAAGTGAAACGTAAAAAAAAATAATCTAAAATCAAGAATTACAATTTTAATACAAGTAATTTGTATTATAAAATCTGATTTGACCTTTTTATGAGTACATAGGGATACTTTTTTTCTTCTAATTTATCTGTTTAAAATTTAAACAATTCTAAGAGCGTTTTAATAATGTGATTTTACAACTACTCTATTTTGTTAAATAATTGCAACTTTTAATTTGATTACAATTATTCTTGATTTTAGACACTTTTGAATGGCTTGATCCAGCACGATCTGTATGTGTTCTGTGTTCTGTATTCTGCTCTTCTCTTGCTCTCTCACTCACTATCTGCTTGTCTCTTTCTGTGTGTTCCCAATCCTAAAGAGCTACAAGTGACCAGGATGAGGCCGATGAGCCGCGAAGTCAATAGACACATTGTAGCCTTAAGATCTGTTACCCATCCCTGTATTTACTTTCTTCGCTTTGCTTGCTCTTTTCCCGTTTAAATTTTTTTAATTTTTCCATCACTCACTGATCATCTAATCATCCATTTGTTTCGTTGCGCTCCAGAACGTTTGCCAATGAGACAAGTCAGTTTCTGGCCCCCTTTAATAATAACTTGGCTGCCATGGGAGATGGTCCGCAGACATTGGCCACAGCTGCCTCTAATCCTGGGATATATGCAACAGCAAACTCTGCCGTGGTCTCCATTAGCGAATTAATGAAACCAGGACAAACGGCGATGGAGAAGCAAGTAAAGGCCTGGAATCCATTCGAAGAAGAACAGCCATTCAGTCAGATGACCGAGGATCATATCTTCGAGGCGGAATTCGATAAGATCCGCCAAAGAGGAAGTCAAGGAAGTAAGTTGAGAGAAAGGAGTTTATGTTCTTTTTATTAACTGATTAATTATTAGAATTAGGGATCATTTTTTTGACACAACCTTTCTTTAACTTGGCTTGCATTAACGAACTTAATATTTTAGGTATTACAGCTAAATCGGCGTCCACAACATCCACGCTAACGCCAACAGAACAGAATCCCATTGTGGCTCCTCCAGCTGCACCAGGAGCTGTTGCGCCTCCTCCTCCGATCACGACCGCTGTATCACCACATCCGCCGCAAGTTTCGGAGGATCCCTTTGGATCGGCACCATTCAGTTTGCCACCCGGACTGCGCGAGAAGGCAACATCGCTGCGCAAAACCGGAGGTAAAGCATGAAATTCTACCTTAATCGTTTGCAAATGCCAGAATACGTTTAGTTTTCCGATTGTTGCTTTTGTTCGCTCTCAATCTCGATGCAGAAAGTGAAAGTGATTTGAACGTAGACGTAGACGTAGTCTAAAAACTTCCTAGTAACGCTCAGCTCAACTCAGCAGAGAGCCGCCAAGGCAATATCCTCGATACTCTCCATCCAAAAAGGAGCCGCTTCCAAAACAACCTACATCGGTAGCCGGCGAAAGATCCGATCAGCTCCAGCTATAGATTATCCGTATACTAACCGATCGCTGCTCGATCGAAAGATTTAGCGTGCCATATAGATGGGTGGAAGGTCCCGCGACGTAGACTACTTAAGTGTAATCAATCAATTTGTAAATACCCCAATGCACCCACTAATCAACCCGAAAATAATCCAAAGAAACTCTCTTAACTTTCTTCTTATAAGTTTTTCTGGTGTTTGATAAAAAGATTATCTAAAAAAAAACATAACAACACTTTTCAAAGATATTCGTAATCACGTTTCTACAAAGACTCTTTGTTTCTAAATTACTTATTATATTATTTTTTGGAAAATATGGAAATCAATTATACTTTCTTTCACCCTCTGTATCCCATCCCTTTAACAATCTCCAATCTAAGCGCTTCTAATAATCACTACTTGGTGCTGGTACTAAGCTAGAAACAAATAAATAAAAATTTAAATAAAATAATATTTAGCCCATATGTAAATTTAGTTGATAACAGTAATACATTAGCGGTTGTGGTTTAAAAACTAACCAATCAAAAGAACAAATTTCAATTATTTTTATTGTACAATTCATTGGTCTAATTGTAAATGTATCTACTCTGTGTGTAATTGTAAATTTAGCTAACTAAGAGATAAAACTAGAACTATTTATTCATGTTGTTGGCGTAGAGTGTGAAGCAATTGAATTCTAACTAGCGAATATATTTTTGGCAATATTTTGCATATCAGAGTTAATACTTACTATACATGTGTTAAAAACCGTGCAATTCTAAATATTAATGCTAAAGAGATTTTTATTATGGGTCGGCAGATCTAATTACCGCTCGACATGACAGTAAACTAGTCTAAAATTTTTATCTTCTGATTGTTTTTTATATATATTTTCGCTTTCCATAAAAGTTCGTCTAAAACTCCGATCTCTGCGGATGTGGCAGCAGACAAACAAACAAAAATAATCCAATCAATTGTTAATAATCACAACGAGAGAGTCCATTGAACGCAAGACAATATACGATAAATTCCGAGTTAGTCCAAGGATACTTTCCAATATTTTCCCAATTTGTTCTTTTATGCCCCTCACACACACACCGCCACACCAATTGAAATGTTCAACTAGCCATAACTACGACTACTCTTGTTAATACTGTACATAAGTTAAATCGGTGAGAGTAAATACACCTTGAAGCGTTAAACCAAAGAGCTAAAGTTTAGTAATTAGAAGAACCCAAGATGAGCTGATGAACAGATAAAGCGCAATGAAAGCAACAAAAGTCAGGTAACCAAGACACATACAAGCAAATTATCAGATGACAACAAATACAGATAATATATATATATCTAAAGCACTATATATTTATACAAAAACCAGTTAAGAAAAGGCGTTAGCTTAAGTTCAGCCACAAGAATTGTATGAGATTTAAACAAAAACTGAAGCAAAACTGCAATAAACTCTATATTATGTTTCAAAACCAAACTGAAAATTCACAAAATGTAAAACTAACTAACTTAACTTGTGGGTAATATAATAAATAAGCAAATGGTTTGCTGGGGCATGCACAGAAACAATGAAGAATAATTAAAAAAAAACAAAATTGTAACTTTGGGTAACTTATATTTGAAATACAGTTTTCAAATATCCTGTTTGCTAGGAACAGATAAACAGGCACACGGTATAACGATCGTCTCACAAAAAACAATGAAGCTCTCAATATAAGAAGACGTTTAAAGCGAAGCATCCAGCCGATCTCTGGAAAAGAGGACGCCAAATTGAGCCTAAAAAAAATGTAAGATTTAGCATCTCTAGCTAGTTATAAAAATTTGTTAATTTCATTCATATTTACTTATTTGTTCATAATTTAGAAATTGGCTGATTGACGTTTAATAAATATTAATATTGTTATATCAAAAAGTTTTTCTCGAAGTACAAATAAAATTCCTATATATGTAAATTTAATTAAAGTAATCAAGAAAGAAGTATAATCAAACTGTGCATGCCTCCAAATCAACACATTATTCCCCAAATTGATTTTTGGGTCAACATTACAACGTATTCCAGCTTCTATCGTCGCCTTGGTCATTCAACTAACCAACATATTACGTATACGTCACGTTGAGCATAGAGCATTCATAAATCACTTAGTAACACCTCACATTCCAGGGGATCATCTACAAGCTCTCACTTTCTTCATCCATAATTAGTTGTAGAACAAACAGCCGCTAACCCGTTTAAACCCGTAATCTCATTACCTTACTGCATAAAAGTCCTTCGCTCTCGTCCACAGCGAAATTCATCGGCGTTTCCTCCGGCGGATCAGGAGGAGGAGTGGTCACCCCCATCGGCCTGGTGACAGGAGGCGTTAACACCGCCACCTCATCCAATTCTTCCAAGTGGCTCCTATCCCCAACTTTGGAGGTTTCCAGCGAGGAGAAAACCTCGCTAATCAGCAAACTAAAAACCGATTCAGAATGTGGTATTCCATGCGGTGCTGGAGGAGAAGGTGTCTCTGGTTATGTTAAGCTTCCTTTGGAAGATCGCAACAAGTACGAAAAGCTGCGCAGCAAGGATCAACCCACTTCCGATGAATCTGACTCCGAGGGTTCCGAATTTTTTCAACAGGATAGCGATGAAGGAGGTGGCGGCATTTTCAAGCAGATGCAGATGGTGACTAGCAATTTGCCAGAAACCATTCACAAGATCCAACAGGTGGCCTATCACAAGGTGGACAAGACAGCCCATCTGCCTATAGTGAAGAAACTTCGTGACAAGACCAAGAAACCCACATCAGCTGCCCATCAGGCGGCCCAACAGCTGAATCTCATGGCTGCAGCTGTGGCTGCACAGGCTGAAGAAGCTGCCAAGGCGGTGGAATCGGATGGGGACTCTATAGGATCAGCCAGTGATCTTCGGGCTGAGGATGATGACCTGTTTGATGAGAATCCTCGCCAGACCCAGGCTAAGTTACGCCGTCCTTTGCCAACAGAAATGGATGGTATCAGCGAGTCTGTAAAGACCTGTAGCAGTTCTGCTTATCATGCTGAATGCGAGAGTGTAACGACCCATGAAGACGATGTGCGGAGTAGGGTGGTAGTGAAGGTCCGAATGAGGAAGAAGGACCGCAGTCTTGTAGCTGGCAACGGAGATCCAAGTGCCCCATCCGAAGAACTAAGCCCCACATCCAGCGATCTTCTGCACAAGTTCGGTGATCGCCCACTGCTGCTGGATGATGAATTGGACTATGGTTCTGGGGAAAGCAAGAGCAGCACAGAATCACCTTTAGCGGCACCTCTACCAACAAATCCCGAGGTACTGGAATCGGAGGAGGATGTGTTTGCCATGGCGCCTTTTAAGTTACCGGTGGGAATTCCCTTTGAAAAGGAAAAGTAAGCCCAAGACTAAACCTAAGCCGGCAGAGCCCGAGATGTGGACGTCTACACCAGTAAAAGCTGCAGGAGCAGTGGATCCTTCGACCAATTTTGCCAGCTTTCCAGGGCAGATCACGCCCACAAATCAAGCGGGGAACTCCCCACAGCTAGACGAGTTCAATGAACCAATTTTCAATCCATTCCAGGAAAACTCACTGAAGCCGGAGGCGGTGGCGAATAACCAATGCGATCTTTTCGGCTTGGAGCCATTTCCACAGGTAATTCGCACCATCGAACAGAACCCTCAACACCACCAGATCCACCACTTTCCCAGCCACAACAACAACAACAATAACAATGTGATCAAAGTGCCCGCCTCCGTGTCTGTGTCTCTTCCTGCCTCCGTTCCCGTGTCCGTTTCTGTCAACTCTTCTGCCCCACAACAACTGGTGACCATAAATCACTCGATTATTATCAACAAAACGCCGGAGCCACCGATGAACTATAATAATAATAATAATAACCAGACGGTTAAGTCGTGTGGCACCAGCAGTGTCTATGTAAATGTGCCGTCTTATGCCAGCGTTAGCACCAGTTCCTGCTCCATTAATCAGCCACAACCCTCACCAGCAGCAGCAGTTATTCCAGTTCCGGCACCTGTTCCAGTTCCTGCCCCCGTTTCTGTTGCAATTCCTGCTCCGATTCCTGCGACCGTTACCCATCTTCGTCCATTGCTGCCCATTGCCGATAATGCTTATGTACAAATCTCTCAAGATCGCTGCTCCGATTTCACACCGGACGACGAGGAGGAGCCCGTGGTGCTGCGTGATGCCGATGTGGTGGCAGACGGAATCGGTATACCTGCCCCTGGAAAGGCCAAGAAGGAGAAGTCCCATCTGGCTGTGAGGGTTCTGCCGGGAAAGCTCACCCAGAAGGTGAAGGGGCACTCATACAAGAAAGTTAGCGCTGCTGCTCTGGGATCCACCAGTTCCCTGAGTTCCGGCAGCAAGCAGAAACACCAGCGATTGCAGTACCAGTCCCACGACGATGACGACGACGAACAGGATCAGGATGAGAATCGAGGAGCTGGTGGCAGTCGCAATTTCCAATCCAACACCATACAAAATTCGGCGAAAACGGGTTTCAGTAACATGAGTTTTGAGGACTTTCCCTCGGATCAGGAAATGGATCGCCTGTCCAGGACCATTCCTTTCGAAGTGGTTAGAAACGAAAAGATGCTACTCGAGGCGGAGAAGAAGTTCGGTTCCCTGAAGAGGCGCAACAATCTGTTCTCGTAAATGGAAAATAGGAAGCGAAAAAAATTATCAAGGAGACCTGAGACTGAGTGTTTCAAATTATTTTGGCATTTCGTTTAAACTTTTCTCCGTTCCGTTTTTTGTATGAAGCTTTCCAAAACGAAAAAAAAAACAAAACCAATAACAAATATCTGTATTTTTTGAGCCTAGTATTTATTCGCGTGTAGCAATGTTGAAAAGTGGTTAATATTATATGTACACATATTATACACACAACAAGATCAATACCTATAACTGTAACTGTTATTTAGTGCAAAAATGTAAAATAGATTTAGAAGCGAGACAAGTTTTAGAATTTATACAACGCGTAAGTTTACCAAAGTTACATTTATGTTTGTGGCATTTTTCAGCTTGAAATATTCCCTGAATTATTTATTTACTATAAACAAAAAACAAAACTATGTGATTATACACCCAATTTATCAACTTAAACCAATTGCATTCACTAACACCAAGGTATTTAAGGATTATTAATTCTTTTCGTGTCGATTAACATACAAGTTTATGTTAGTATATCCTTTGTTTTTGCATATGTATTATCTCGACTATATAAAATATGCGTATTGTATTTATATTTTAACTCAGTGTTTTTAATGGTTTTCTTGGGAAACAAAGAAAAATCTATTTTGTTAAATACTCAACGTTTAATATTTTAGACGCGACTGTTTAAGGGGCACTGTGTCAGCTCTAGGGTTGCTTTTGTCAAAAGACATCTGTTGCTTTTTTAAAAATATATACATGTATATATATTCTTGCGGTTAAGTACCTCATACTTATCTTTTCTCATCAAGTCAACCGCTTGCTGCTATTTTAGTACTTATGTGACTTTAAATGCCATTGAATTCTTACATATTTACAGTGCGAACTAAATATGAACATAAGTTTTATGTAAAACATAAAATTAATAATAAATAACTAATTTAATAGTTTATTTAAAATAAATATTTGAGTATTTTAATTTTGTTTAATATATTATGCAGTGTTTACCCTATCGAATGCTCACTGTTTCGTAGCTAGCACCCGTAAACAAAGAACAGCTGAGCTGTGTAAAAGTATCTGTGAGTTTTTGTATTGTGAAAACTCACACAAGATAAGCGGAAAAAGTTGCCAACCCAAGCGAAAAAATCCGACAAAAATAATAAAATTCCAAGTCGACAAAACTCACAATATCACGTATCTGTCAGATACAAAATACAGCCGTATCAGCTTGGTAGCAATTAGAAAGCAAATCACGTAGTCCAGCGAAGCTATGGCGAAGACCAACAACTGGAACTGGAGCACTAAGGGAATTCTGGTCAAGTGCGGAGGATTCTCATCGCAATTGGCTAACAATGTAACCGAAAAAGTGGATGGCGATCCATTGTGGGGATCTCGATTCGATGCCACAAATCCGGAGGCTGTGATTAAAACTCATTTGGATTTTCTGCGTAATGGAGCGGATATTATTCTAACGAACACGTATCAGTCCAGCGTTGAGGGCTTCGTCAAGTACTTGGGTGTGACCAAAGAACGAGGTGTAGAACTAATTCAAAAGAGTGTCCATCTGGCCAAGGAGGCCAAAAATCAGTACCTAAAGGAAACCGGCTCCGAGCTGGAATCTACTCTTCCTCTTATCTTGGGTTCAATAGGTCCCTATGGTGCATATCTTCATGACGGATCCGAGTACTCTGGCAGTTATGCGGACAAAATCTCCAAGGAGCAGCTAAAAGAGTGGCACAGAACTAGAATAGAGATATGCCTGGCAGCTGGAGTCGATGGCTTTAGCCCTGGAAACTCTTCCTTGCCAGATGGAGGCGGAGGCAGTTGCTGAATTCGTACTGGACAACTGCCCAGAAGCTCATTTTTGGGTCTCTTTTCAGTGCAAAGTGAGTAGTTGGTTGTGAATAACTGAATAAAATTATATATAATCTTAGGAAGTAAACAAGTTTAGTTGAAAATTAGCATTAGGTAAACATTAGCATTCGTTTCTTAGACGCAATGTAAAATTTTTCTTTTAAAGTTTATTTATATATATAAACTTAAAAAATGCAAACATAAATTTTAATATTTTTATATTTAAAAAATGCTGCAACCATGGTTCACTGAGAAAATTATTTAGATTCGTATTACATTTTTTATCTCAAATTGATTAAAGAAATCATATTTTTCTGTACGAACATAACTTATTCAGATAATCTCAAATAATTTAACTCAATTTTTTACACACACTATTTTTAATTTCAGGATGAAAAGCACTTGGCAAGTGGTGAATCCTTTGCGGAGGCTGCTCTTTCTATTTGGCGGTTGGTCCAAAGTCGCAAGGCTGAAAACCGATTAATTGGAATTGGGCTCAACTGTGTGAACCCATTAGATGTAACCCCTTTGCTAACATCTCTTACCAAAGCGGCCGGATCGGATCGTATCCCGTTGGTGGTCTACAGCAATCGCGGCGAGATTTACGATGCAAAGCTGGGAGATTGGACTGGGACCGGCGAGGAGGTGGTTAAATTTGTACCTGAATGGCTCCAGCTAGGAGCTCGCGTGGTAGGTGGCTGTTGCCGGGTCTATCCGACAGATGTGTTGGCGATCCGCAAGTACGTCGATAGCATCAACATAAAACCGTAATCGGTCTCGGAAGCACTTTGCGAGGACTGATAGCTGGCTTGTTGTTAATGCGAAGCCGTTTCGTGTGACTAGACCTAGACCTATTTAGTTTGCTAAATACATACATATTTGTGTACCCAGATCAGATGGGCTGCCTAATCAGAGAGTGGAAAAAAAGCGTGGACGGCTGGGAGACAAAAACCAGATTAAACGGGCGGAGCAAAGGTAAACAAGTGGGTTTGGGGGCAGGGGCTGGCGGACACCCAGCGACTGCTATAATTTGCAAACCTAGCTCAATCAAAATCAGGACAATCTCTGATTCAATTTTTCAAATAACAAAGTGCATTTGTCTTTTTAAATAAAATATATTTGTTTTTTTTAACTTTATTATTGACTTGGATCTGGATTTTTTTAAAGAGAACTTTATGTACATTTGATAATAGATACCTAGGGGAATGAATTAAATATATTATTATGTACTTTCGAGTAAGCAATAATTATAAAAATGTCTTTACTTTAACTTCTTGGAATCAATTATTTATTTCATTTTCCTGGGGTAACCAAAAAGGTATACACAAAAATACTGTTCATCATAAAATCAATCTCTCATTATCTAAAACAAATCTTTAATCACCCGCTTTTCACTTTTTTTAACTAAACTCTAGCCGACAAAATTTTATAAAGCAAAGCAAGACAAAGTTCACGCCTTTAATGTATGCAACATAATTTATATTTTTCTTATTATTTTACATGTCTTCCTGTTTGTTTTCCTAAAGACAGGTCTTATTTTTGTTTTTTTCTTTAAATCAATAATTTTATTTATTGGACTATAATCTTCTGCTATTGGAAGCACCGGCTGTCAACATCTGCAGTGGGCAGAGTCAACAACCAAGAACATCACTGAGTGTTGGTACTACGCGGCTGGCAGAGGTTATCGACGATGAATTAGCCAGGATCCCGAGCAGCATACTCCGAGTCCAATCGCTCGGGAACATGAACCACGCACTCCAACGATCTGACGATTTCATCAGCCTTGTGGAGGAGGAGTCGCTTTCAACCCGGACAATCAAATCTGGCTGGCCAGCGTCTGGCAGCTGTGCACTCGCCTTATCAACCATAAAGTATCACTTGTGGTGGGGGCACTCGCATGTTTATGTTTGCCGTTTTGTTTTGTTATAAATTTTATTTATTAATTTCGCTCTGATAAGCCTCGCACAGCTGAGTGGCTGCCCCAGAAAGTATAAAAGGCCCTCGACGAGCTGTAAAACACTTAAACGTTCGTCGAGCACCCAGTGCCACAGATCATATCCACCAGTCTGAGAGTTTTGTGAAAAAGAAAACCAAAAAGCTTGATAACCAGCCAGTCTAGCTAACGTCTAATAAAGTTGTTATTGAATTTAGCGATTTACAAGATCTATAAATAAGCTTCCAAGGTGAGTGCGGGACATTATCGTGTGTTTGTTGACGGCCTGGCTGCCAGAGATTCTCTGCCAGAGTGTGCTAAAATTCTCTTAAGAAGGGGTCCCTAGATAATGCCTTGCTAAGATATTACTAATTGATCATAAGTTGAATTAAGTAATAATAGAGTTTCAAAATTAAAAAAAAACATATTTGTTCTTCAATTTTTAAAGCAATTTTACTTACATGAGGTTATGACTATTAGTAGTGGTTATCTCAGAGTACATATGTACATCTTATAGATCATTCCTATAATATCAAAATGGTAAAATTGTAAAATGCAGTATCTAATCTGCAGAATGAATAAATGCTATTAATCAGTAGTTATACTTTCTAGAGCGTACTTCTTAGATTAAGTTGTTAGTGCATTAGTCTTCCGCTTTGACAAGTTCGTTGAACTAAAAAATGAAGATAAGTTTGTGTGATCCACTTCGTAAACAACTGTGCCAAAGTACTAGCTTTGGTGCAACTTTGTTGCTAAACAATCTGTATTTAATGGGCAATCAGCCAGATGTCGAAGCTTGGTTACATATATGTTATATACTAAAGCTCCCTGAATAAATTCATATTAATTATCTCCTATTCCAATGACGCGTGTAACTAATAAATAATTTTGCTTGGTGCCACCCCCCATTTGCAGTAACCTTGTAATCATGGGATTGACGCGCGTGCTGGTGAAGGATGGTGGTTTTGGCACCCAAATGACCGTCCATGTGGGTAACTCAGTGGATGGAGATCCACTTTGGAGTGCCCGATTCAATGCCACTAATCCGGCGGCCATCATTAGCACCCATTTAGATTTTCTGCAGAGTGAGTACCTAGTTACTAGGAGCAATTAGCAACAGATTAACTGAATTATCCTCCCTGACAACAACAGATGGTGCCGATATCATTTTAACCAACACCTATCAGTCAAGTGTCGAGGGTTACATGGAATACATGGAGTTGGATGAGGAACAGAGCATCGAGCTGATAAGGAACACGGTCCGTTTGGCACACATTGCCAAGGAGCGCTATCTTACTGAGTGCTATCAGGCCCAGCTGTCGGTTCCGGAAGGTAAATTCAGATTCTGTTGTAACTAACTTATTATATCGGTTTAATGATACGGATCAGTCGTTTCGTTAATCGTTATTTATTTTTAACTCCAGCCATTAATCAATTATAAACCTAAATAATTTTTTTAATTTTTAAGGTTACCCACTGATCATAGCATCCATTGGACCTTATGGAGCCCACTTGCACGATGGCTCCGAGTACACCGGTAGTTATGCTGACTACGTGCCCGCCAAGGAGATTACGGATTGGCATCGCGTCAGGATCGAGGCCTGTTTGGAAGCTGGCGTAGATGCACTGGCCATCGAGACGATTCCCTGCCTAATGGAGGCAGAGGCGCTTGTGGAGATGCTGTGCGATGATTATCCGGACGTAAAGTTTTGGGTGGCCTTCCAGTGCAAGGATGAGAATACTTTGGCACATGGCGAGACTTTTGCGGATGCGGCAAATGCGATTTGGGATTTGTTGGCGGAGAGAAATGCCCAGGATAAATGCTTGGCCATCGGGGTAAATTGTGTGCATCCCAAGTTTGTGACTCCGTTGTTCAAGAGTTTGAATGGAGATCGCGATGCCGATGACATGATTCCCCTAGTTGTCTATCCCAATAGCGGGGAAGTTTACGATGTGGTCAATGGCTGGCAGGGAAGGGAGCACTGTGTCCCACTTGCAAATTACGTACCCGAGTGGGCGCAGCTGGGGGCAAAGGTAATTGGAGGATGCTGTCGAACCTATGCGAGAGATATTCGACATATCGGAGAGGCAATTCGCAGCTGGAACAAGCTGAAGAAGCTCTCCTAAAGGGAAACTCTTCAAATGGGGGGTTTTTGTAAATCTGAACAGAACAAAATGCATTTCAAATTAGACTTGTAAATATACCTAATAAGTTAGTAAGGCTAAAAATTAGTATAAATAAAGAAAAGACAGACAAATGTTTACCGTTTCTTAATTTACCGATATCTTATAATAATATTTAAATATATATTTGCAAATTTATAGAAAATAAATAAGTTACTATTGCAGACAAGCAATTGTTAAAAAGTTTAATCACTGCCATGGAAAGACTTTTTAACATGAACTATATGTTCTTTTTTCAGTAAAGTAATTGTGATGCTTAATGGTCAAAAAAATAAATACAATTTAAATTTCTATAATTCCCGCTTCTTTTCGATATCATACTATCGTTATATCAATTTCCAGTCACCACGAACTCTTGATATATTTTAATCTTTGTTAATTCGTCGATAGTAGAAATCGACATATCGGGTCTTAGTAGATGCCTTACAATAAATAAATAATATTTTGCGGATAAATAGGTATTTCTCAATCTAAAATTTAATAAATGAGATAGAATACCTAAAAATAATCGAGGTATTGATTCCTTTCGATAGTGTCATCGATGTTTTGACAGCTAGTCGAACTAACGCCGAAAAAAGAGAACCAGCTGTGGAGATTTGCAAAAATTGTAGATAATTTAGTTATTGTAAAGACCAGGCTCATTTAACCGACAACATGTTGATCAAAGTAAAGGTTAGTGGTTTCAAATGTATATTCGCAATAATATATAAAGATGGCGAAATAAAGGCGCTGAACCCGTGCCAAGCGTCACATCAAACAATAAAATCAAAAGAGAGTCTATTGTATATGTACGTCCATTTATTAACTTTAAATATGTATTATTTTATATTCCATTAGACCCTGACCGGCAAGGAAATCGAGATCGACATTGAGCCCACAGACAAGGTGGACCGTATCAAGGAGAGAGTGGAGGAAAAGGAGGGAATTCCGCCACAGCAACAGCGTCTCATTTTTTCCGGCAAGCAGATGTGAGTTGTTGTTTTATTAGATTAGTCATTGATTTTAACTGATTTCCGATTTAATACCATTCAAGGAATGATGACAAGACTGCGGCGGATTATAAGGTGCAAGGGGGGTCAGTCCTCCACTTGGTGTTGGCTCTGCGAGGCGGTGGTTCCATCCTAATACCTTTTCTGTAATTATCCTGTTGTTAAGCGGAAAACATTCATTTAAACTCTACTCAAATACATTAAGCTTGAGAAGCATCATTTGAAGAAAAATATGTATAAACTAAAAAACCAGTAAAAAAAAGTGGTAAAAAAGAAATGCGTATGCGCATCGGGAAAATGTAAAGAAAAATGTGTAAATGAGCGCATAAGAATGTTGTAACAAGATTTAAAAATATCAAAAATGCATTTATTTTGAATAAGTGGCCGTTTGCAGTTTTTAAGTTCAGTTCTGTTTAACAAAACGTCCGACTAGCAGGTGATTCTTTGGCGTGCACTGCTCCGGTTTCAAGCGCGTCAGGATAACCTGGTAGCCCGCCTCCTCCGCTTGCAGCTGGCGATCGGTGTCCACTACTGACATACAAAGAAGTCCCTGGAGCGTGGTTTCTGGCTTACAGTTGGTGGTGCCCATCTCGTGTGCCTGATCAGCCGAATGAGCTATGTACATGTAGTCCTTTGTGCCCAACACACTTTGGAAAGATTCGCTTAATGGATATGAAATGTGAGGCATAGGTTGCAGGGATCCGTAGCAGCACGGACAGCAAACAAAATGTGCTTTGGCCCTCCGACATTGCTGCAAAACGATATCCGTGGCAGTTCCGCAGGCATGTAAAGAGGCCCCGATCTCGAAACCTCCTATGAAGTAATCTATATTGCATTGGTAGAAGACACAGTTGGTCAAGCCCAATTCGATTGTTCTCTTTTGAGCCTGGAGCAAAGAGAAGGCTTTGTTTTCCATTACTATAATAGTGCACTTTGGCAGTTTGAGGGCGAGAAGTATGGCCAAGTGTCCAGTTCCGCTGCAGAAATCCACAATGCGATCGCCTGGTTGAGCCAAGGAAACAACCGCATTAGCCATGTTCTCAAGCTGCTGTCGTTTCCTTTCAAGGCGCTCCTTGGGCAATGCTGAACTCTTGGCATGTGTGGGCTCAATCTGTTCCCAGGCGATGATCTGCTCTCCGTAGGTATGTTCCGAATCCGAGTTGAAATTGCAGCTGCAGCGATGACAACTTTTCAAGGGCCGCTTCAACTTCTAGTTGACTGGTGTAGATTCGATTTCTGGGCTTGTATCGCTTCGGATCGGCTTTATAAAGACTGGTGGCTTCACAGTCGGGGATTCCGAGATCTCCCGGAGGGGTTAAAACTTCTTGAGGTATATAAAGTTCCTTCAGGATCCGAGCGCACCTTCCATCAAATGAATCGATCTGAAACAAATAGTTTATTAGCTTTAAAAGGGCAAGCAGTTTTCTTTACTAACCTCACTGAACCAAGTACTGGTGAGTGGAAAATGAGGTAGCATTTGACTGCAATGCTGGAAGATTATCCTTAAAAGAGGATACAGAATCAGATCGGCAATAGTAAAACTAATGCCCTCGGCAAATCTGTGCTCTATAAGCAGCTCCTCTTTAGGCGTGGTACACTTAATCTGGACTCGTTCTCTTCTCTTCACTTTGCTTCCATTTTCCGTTTGATTCGCTTGATCCCTGGCCTGCTTATAGATGTTATGCATCCTCACCGGCTCATTCATATGTTGCTCGAACCTTACTACTTCTGGTGGTACAGAATCCAAAGTGTGGCCATTATGAAGTTTACTTACAACGTCGACTACATCCACCTCGCAAAACCTAGTCCAAATCGAAGCTTCTGACGGAGCTAAAAGGCAGCTGCCCTTGAAGCCCAAAAGTTTCTTTAATTCTTCATTCGGTTGTCTGGAAATAAGCTCCCTGAAGCAAATTTAAAATATATACAGATCAATATTTGGATAACTAAATCATTAAAACCAAATCACACTGACCAACCTGCAAACAGCGCAAGTTCCTGCTATGAAGGTATTACCATCCTTTTCGTAAATCGGAAGTTTTAAATCCCGGATGGCGGGCAAGGACAAAGACGCGGCTTCCCTGCACGTGATGTGCTGATCCGTCAGTTCCCTTTTCAACTGGGAACTCCGTAAAGCTATTTTACCACCTTCGATCTTGACGGAGAATTGATTAATACCTTTTATTTAAGTTATAAATATTTAAATCAAACCTTTGTAGCAACAAAATTAACTCGAACATGTTTAGGATCATTGAGAAATTTGTATACAAATAATGCTAGCAACGATGAAACACTAGTGTAAATAGTCGTTCTAGTCTCCTCCTTGTGCTTCTGAGTACTGATCTCGATCTCTAGGTACAACTGATCCATAGTTTCATTAATAACTAAACAAAAAATCAAAAATAAAATAAACGTGAGGAAATAATATAATAAACCAGCTGGGGGCCAAACAGCAGTGCTGCCTGACTAGTGGTATCCCCCTCCTTAGTTGTTAGTCTGGTAACATTGCCAAAGAAAAGGAAGAAGAACGTTTGGCATTCACCTGAATTCGTTGATTTCAAACTGCTTTTTAGATTTTAAATTTAAATTTTGGTTATCATTAGTAATTATTTAATAGTTTGGGGTATTCCTATACTGGGGTATTTAAAAAATTTCAATAAATTTAAATAGTGTGCCTAACTAACAATCAAAAGCAATTTGAAATATCTCAATTTGTGGAGCATGCCTGAGGAGCATACATATATGCCTTAACATTGTACATTTAAGTATCCCTCATTTTAAAATTTGAATAGAATTCAATATGTATTCAATAGAATAGAATAGAATTCAATATGTATTCAATATAAGTTCTTGATGACATACATAATTCAATACATCTATGCATTAATTTTGTACATCCTTTTGGAGGTACTAAACTCTCGTTCTGTTCCGCCTTTTGCTTGACCATCCTTTTTTTATGTTTTCTGCCTCCCATTCATGTTCTCACTAACTCCCCTCTTTTTGCCATGTTCACATTATGGTGGCTAAAAATAAAGAAGTTCTTGTGGCCGCCGTTCTTCTGGCTCAGCAAAAAGGGCAACATAATTCTTGTCGATACTCTTCTCTTTGAAAATGAGCTTACTTCTTTGTTTGGAAATGGGTTTGAAAGTTAAATCATAATAATTTTAAATAAATATGTAATTGTATTTTGAACATTTAAGGAGTCTTGTACTGTAAGCAAAAATTATGTTTTAAATAACTTTTATTTATTTTTTGTCACTTAGATTATATGTTTTAAGAGAAGCGTATTCCGCATAACTCAGAAAATATGTACCTAGCGAGGATTTCTAAATTTATAGTTTTTCTTTTCAAAATTTGTTATTTTGTAAACTGTTGATTTCAACAATGAGTGACAAAGTAAATTTAAAGGGTATAAACTACCTCATTGCTGACGAGTTAATTTTATCCATTTCAAGTAATGATGGGCCTAAGGAATGGGGAATGGTCACAAGGTATTGGTAATAGCGATGCGGAATGGAAAATGGGGAATGGAGGAGCGAACGCGGCTGAATGTTGGACTGCTCCATTTACCTGCTGCAGTTTGCTGCGTGCCTGCTGCAATTTCTAATCGAAACGAAACCTTCTACCCTAATGATGGCCTCGGGAAATAACCTTGGCCCTTTGTTAGCTGAAAAATTGGAGTTTTGCCTGCCGAGATAATAATTTTTTTTTGGTTTTGGAGGGAACTTGAACTTGATGGTAACATGCAACATGCTGCATGTATGAGATCGCTGAGTTTAAAAAACTGTTCGCCTGCTCGAAGTTGTTCCGTTAAAATCTGTGCGCTAGGGCAGAGGCCACAAAATGTTGCACAAACATCGAGGGGAGCAACATAAAAAGGGCCAGCACCAGTTGTCTCCCTTACACTCACCAACTCTTTGCGAGCCCTTCGGCAACAATGCAACAAAGCAACACTGTAGCCCTCTCGCTCTGGCTTAGAATTCTTTTTCTCTTGGAAATGACATGGGGAATATACATACATAGCATGGGAATGGGAATCGGTATGGGAATCGGGAACTGGACGGGAAGGGGTGCTTTACGTTGGAGCTCTAACTGCTTCTGATGTTGCTTTCTAGCACTGCTGCTCGCCTGTTCCCGGACACCATCGAAATTTCACATGTATTCCCACGGCCTGAATTTTCCCATGAAGAAGAGGAAGAGGATGGGGAGAATTTCAACAAGAGACAGCCGGAGAATCGCTCACACACACACTCTACCACTTTTTTTTTCCGTTTGCACTGAGTCTGCTCCCAGGGTCGATACACTGGAAAAGATAATCGGCGTAATCCTGAAGAGGAAGGAATTTTGTAAAGAGGACTAAGATTCCGCATTTTAAACGAACTTTTTTAGGGTTGAATTTACTTGTGCTAGTTGCTTTTATTAATAATAAAGATATACTACAGTAAACTCGCAGCTCGTTTCAAGGATATATTAAATACTATTTTTAGAGCATACTTTTAGGCAGAATCAAATTTGCATCAATTCATTTTTTAAAATTTGAAAAGGTTTATTAAAATAAAGTACTTGATCTTTCTTATAAAAACAAAAATATATAAAAATAGTTGTTTGTAAGTTATTATGTAACTGTAGATAGCTGATAATTTTTCTAGTCAAAGTATTAAACATTAAGGTTTAAGTTTATTGTAAAAAATTTTAGTTATAATATAAAAACCACAGAATTTATTTTGTTCAGTGCACCGTTCTTCCGTTCCTTCAGCTCTGCTGGTCGTTTTGTTTATGCTGCTGATGCTGTTGATGCTGCCCCTTCTCATATTCCCAGGGCCCTGCTCCACCTCCCAATCCATGGCAGCGCCTCAAGTCCAGACTGGTCCTGGTCATGGACCCTTGTCCCTCTTCGTACTTTACTTCTGCATCCGCTTGGGTTAACATCTTCTTCATCTGCTTTGCTCGATGTCGTGTCCGTCCTCGGCTGCGAATTCCTTTGGTTTCCAAGTCTGGCTTCTTTAACCTCTCCTTGCTAAGGCTTCACCTGAATCTGCAGCACTGTGGAGACTGTGTAGAAGTGGATAATAATGTAATGTGATCCTATGTATTATGATTATCTGGTCAAAAATCATCATTATCGCTTACCTTCCAATATCCTTATCAACCTATGGTCACCAACTTCTCCTCAAGGGCGGAACCCACAGGCGGTACAAAAAGGTCCCGATAGCCGAAATCAGAGACGTGGTCACGTGGACACTATATTGCAGGGGTACGTATATAAACTCTAGTCCGTGGAGGGAATTTGGTCGTAAAGTGTGGATATTGGAAACTGGTACTATTGCCATGGCTCGAAAAAATATAATTTAAAAAAAAAAGTGGTGCCTAAAAACAAACAAAAACCTTAGCAATGTGAATGATAGGGAAGACCTACTGAGAACTCTCTATCACAGATTTCTGGGGTTCTCGTAGTTTAAATAGAAATACATTATTTTGCCCACTGTGCATCACCAAAAGCGGCCTTGGGGAGCTCCAGGAATGTCTAACCAATTGGAGCCACTTCCTCTGCCTGATTCTTCGCTTTCGCCTGCCCCCTGCCCCACGGCCTTGGACAAGGCTTCTTCTAATGGTCGGCTCCACGAATGTCGTGTCTATACTCCTCTTCATCCACTTCACTACTCTGTCCCTCTCCTTTTTAAACTTCAGTTCCCGATAATGTGGCATTGACTTGGCAGCAGTTATTCCAGTTATGTGTGCCACACTTCGTCAGACATGCAGCTATATGCTTCGGCTACTGCACTCCTGGTCCGTCAATATGTTCAAGGATTTTTTCATGCTTCCAGGCATGCCGATGACGTAGGTTGGTACTCGGGTTTCTCTGAAAGATGAGAACGAAATTAACCAAAAGAAGCTACCTTAAAAACGTACTGTTACGGTATAATTTTCAACTTATTTGGGTTGATTTATTGGAAACATAAGATGAAAATGTAATAAAAACCCTCAAAATATTTTAATCATAAGAATAATTCCTATTATTTGGTAGTTTAAGTAGGGGAGATACATAAACAGAATTTTTGAATTTTTCTTTTTGCGACTCAAATCAGAGTCCCTAGAATGAGCTCCGGATATTCCGAGTATAACTCTATCCACCACTCAATTCGAAAATATGATTTGCCCCCAAAACCACCACTCAGTTGCTGCCCCACACAGCACAACAAAAGTGTGTATGTGCACTCTCTCAAAAGCGACTCCATGGCCATGGCAAGAGGTAAACCAACAAACAAACATTCAAACAAACACACACCGCACATGGGCCTGAGAAATTCACACTCAGTTGAAACGGAACGAAATCGGAGGTCGAGTGACTGCCACTGCGATAAATCTCATCGGGAACTGGTTACTCGGCCTGGGCGCCTGTTCGTTAGAGTCCATGAATCGAAATTGTGTGGCTCAAGTGACGATATTGTCTTTTTTCGATTACACGTTTCCCATCCCGTTGCCACGATTCGAAAATTAGTGTTGGATAAGTTGCGGTCTCTTCGGAAAAAGGGAAGTAACAGTCGCACGAAGAAGATACTTTTTGGCTGTGAACTTGTTTTTAATAACAAGAGGCAGAACATACTTGCAAAATAATATATGCTCACTGCTCAACAGTTGAGTGTTTCAAGGGCCAAGTGGGGAGCGGAGCTAGTACCGACTCCGGGTTCTTTCGCGTTCGTCTTATTCGCTCCGCTGGCGCTTCCAATTCGAACAACTAGAGCAGTGAGCAGCATCATTTAGATTTAGACCGGAATTGTAACAGGCCCGCAGCTCTGGTAGACCGATTTTTCAACTCGCCGGCGATTATTCTCGCACTATAGCTGTACTGCTTCACCGGTCCAATCGTTGTCTCGTTCGCACACTGGGGAGCTTTCGGATAAAGCTTCGAGATGGTGCGCTTTTTTTAAAATTTATATTTAAACTTTACAGCAACAGTTGTTTATAGGCAAAATGTAATATAGTCCATGTGAGTAAAGTTATATTTGAGAATAATTTCTTCTTCATAATTTCATTTTTTGTATTTACGTTTTTCAATGATTCCAGAAAGCCATTTTTACAGGACTTTTTATTCCACTTTTAATTTCTACCAAGTAACATTAATGAAATCAGTTTTGTAAAATTTGTTTATTATTTTAACATTTAAAATTACGCTTTATATTAGCAGATCGCGCGCGCCAAGACGTTTCCATCGATACATTAGTCGCCTATCGATTGTCGATGTCACTGCTACACCAAAAGTAACACTGCATTGGAATCAGCTGGCTCTGCTCTGCCGAAATTGGCAGAAATCAGAAGTTTAGTTTAGACGCAATACTGAAAGGATTTTCCAATTTTACCGGCCCAAAACAAAGATCACCGACTTGAGACAGTGGAAGGGGCACCGGCGAGACTCTTATCGACAAAGTCGCTGTTAATATCATCAAGTGACGTCGTGGTAAAATGCTGCACAGTCCTCTGGCCTTGCGAAATTCTGCGACAAAAACAACAAAGAAGCGTCGCCTCAAATAGGAGAAACAAAAAATCAGAAATAATCAATTAAAATCGAAACTGTTGCAAACGTTTCCTGTGGTGAATAGCAAAAGTTAAAAGAGTTCATTAGGATTTGGATTGCCACAAAGGACGAAACCAAAAGTTGCGTGAACAGCTGCAACAGCTGCGTGGGCAGCGAAGTGGGCAGAGACGCCGGCAGAAGCAGCAGCAATAACAAGCTTTTCGGTCTTTTTTCCAACAATGGAAATGCGAGAGGTTTTGAGTCGTGAGGGCAGGGAGGCGAAGAATCTGCTAGTCTACCAGTTCTGCGATGAGACAACTTCGAGTGGTGCTAGCGGTTCCGTGGGTGGAGGAGTTGGAGGAGGAGCAGGTGGCGATGGAGGAGCAGCTGTTGGAAGCGGAGGCGTAATCATGAACGGGGACTGTAAGACAAACAAATTGTTGATTTCCGATGCTTGGTACTTGAGGAGTTTCTAGGGTGTGTTGTATTATTAGCAACTTGTGTAAGAAGATAGAAAAATATATTCCAATTGGAAACGTGTTTTTAGTTCCATTTATAAAAAGATTTGAGAAATTCTATAAATATGTCAAATAAGTATCGAGTATCGGATAGAATACATTTTAACAATAGCTTTGGACATCACATTTTAATATTGCACTTTTTTCAGGTTATCGAAAGCCTCCCATGGTGCCGCCAAAGTCACCTAGTGGAACACCAAAAAACTGCCAATCGCCCACTTCACCGCGACTAAAATCAACTGGAAGTTTGGGAGGAGGCGGTGGTGGAAGCAGTGGACCACGTGTGCGTAGCGCCTCCACAGGAAGAGACAAAAAATCGGAGCTGCAAGCACGATACTGGGCCTTGCTTTTCGGAAATCTTCAGAGGGCTGTCAACGAAATTTACCAAACAGTGGAGTGTTACGAAAACATATCCAGCTGCCAGGAGGCGATTCTGGTGTTAGAGAACTATGTGCGAGATTTTAAGGCGCTAAGTGAGTGGTTCAAAGTATCCTGGGACTATGAATCTCGGCCATTGCAACAGCGACCTCAGAGCCTGGCTTGGGAAGTACGCAAAAGCAATCCTACTCCCAGAGTTCGAACTAAAAGTCTTTGCAGCCCCAATAACTCGGGTAAATCGAGTCCAGCCTTGTTTCCGGGTTCTCAATCCGGGAAAACCTCACCGTGCTGTGATCATGGACAGATTTCACCCAAAAAACTTTTGCGTGCCTATGACCAAGTGCCAAAGGGAGCAATGCGTCTAAATGTCAGAGAACTATTTGCGGCCAGCAAGCGAGCTACTCAAGGATCTTCGCAGTCGGATAACATGGAGGGTCCCCTCGACTTGAGTGGTGACAAATCAAACTACGTACAGCTCAACACCCAGTATTCCCAAACTGATCTGGAGGACCCACACTTAACTCTAGCGGATGTCAGGGAGAAAATGCGTCGGGAGGCAGAGGAAAGAGAAGCTCAGGAGAATATTGAGCAAGTGGTTAAAGAAGAAGTAAACATTCCAATAGCTAATGAATGTACGGAGGAAATTCCGAACAAACCACAGGATCTTCCTCTGGAACACACTTTCATAAATGAAGATAAATTAAGCAAAGAAGATTCTTTGATAAATGCAGCACATGAACCAACAGCTCTAGAGATGACTGTAGCTTCTCTGGAGTCCATGGAGAACGCTCTACTTACCCAGCAGGCCAATAAAGAGCCAACGCCACCTAGCACTGTTGTCAAACCTGTCGCAGAGCTGATAAAAAAACCACAACCCTTAAATCCATTACTATCCGCAAATATTGCTCAAAACAGTCCACTCAAGTATTCCAGTGTGCTAAATCGTCCAGCGAAGAAGAATCCCCCAACTGCGGGAGCTACTAACAAGACGATAGCAACCAAGCCTATTAATATAAAGACAAATCCTGCGCCACCAGTCAATGGTTTGCGTCGCACCAAAACAGCTCCTCCCTCTGCCAAGACTACAAGAAGTGGATTGCAGCCACCTCCTAGACCTTCCAGCAAAACCGAGTGCTATGGTCCACCCAACAATGTGGCCTCCAGATTGTCTGCTCGCTCGCGAACAATGCTGGAAATAAAAGGGAATACCAAAAGTACAAATCCTTGTACCGGCGCCAGAACTATGTCGAAGAGAGCGGGTCCAAGTTCCATTTTAAGCACTGCCAGAAGAACTACCATGAGTTCTAGATTAAGTTCCAGGGAGGATATAGCCAGTTCAACATCCACTCTAAAAGCTAGCAATGAACAGCTTTCGAACTCAAGAAGCACTTTAAAGGCGGAGGAGCGACAGTGCGGACCAAAACAGATTCAACTCCCTATCGATGCTAACGATGGTTGGTTGACCGTGAAAAATCGGAGGCGAAGCAGCATGCATTGGGCGAATAGATTCAATCAGCCCACAGGCTATGCCAGTTTGCCTACATTGGCGTTGCTAAACGAACAGCAAAAAGAGCAAGAAAACAAAGATAGGGATAAAGGAGCAGGTGACAGCAAAGCTAACGGCAAATCCATTCCAGGAAAAACTGTTGGCTCAGCAGGAGATGCTAAGGTTAAAGCAAAGACAACATTAGCAATTTCCCGACCGGAAATCAAGAATGCCAAGGCCAAGGTTAATTCTTTCCCAGTGCAGAGAAATACTACAAACCAAGTGAAGAAACCAGAGAAGCCAGAAGAGTCGGAGACAACTGAGAAGCCCGAGAAGGTAGCTCCAGCATCTGTAATCACAAGCAGCACTCGAAACAGCAGCAACAGTAGTTCCATTGGGCGCACTTCCATTATCAAGAGACAGAAAATCTGATCTTACAGGGCTGAAAATGACGTCCTTGCACAAGGAGTACATGAGGAGTGAGAAGAATGCTCTAAGAAAGCTGCAGCAAATAGAGCAGGGTAATAAACCCAACAAGAGCAGCTCTTCATCTGCAGAAACTGTAGTTGAATGTAAGTTTATTAATAAAAAATGTGATCTTTAAATTAAATTTCTAATTGTTTTTAGCCAACAACGATGACCACAACAAGATCGACATTAAGATTCAGACGAACTGCGAGTTCTCCAAAACCATTGGTGAGCTCTACGAAAGCATTGCCCGTTGCAAGCTTCCCAATGGAAGCTTAAAACCCAATGCTGGCATCCTGAGTGCCTGTGATGAGAACGAGGAGCAAAATACGGATGACAACGAGGAAGAGCGCGATGAAAGGATTTTAGTAGAAGTACAGGAATCTCTTGAACGACAGATCAGAGAGCTGGAGCAAACGGAGATCGATGTGGATACGGAAACGGATGAGACGGACTGTGAAGTTCAGCTGGAAGAGCAGGACGATGGAGTAGACGGATTGGAACTGACCGGTGGTGATGATTCGGCTGTATTTGTGACCATGAGTGATGATGAAAATGCCAGTTTGGAGTTGAGATATCAGGCATTACTTTCTGATATGTCGTGGAACGAAAGAGCGGAGGCTTTGGCAACTCTGCAGGCGTATGTAGCTAGACATCCTGGAAGAGCTCAAGAGCTGCACCAGAAGTTATCCTCGCCCTCCAGGCGTCGTTCTCTACAGGAAACGCTGAAAAAGTATCAAGCAAAACAGGCGAGAGCCCAGCAGAAACGGAATCTACTTCAGCAGGAAAAGGCAGCTAAACTTCAGCAACTGTTTTCAAGAGTGGAAGATGTTAAGGCAGCTAAGAATCAGATTATCGAAGACAAACGCCAAAAATGCAAGGAAGACTTCAAAGGGCAGCTGAAAATCGAGAACAATATCTCAAGCAAATCATTGAGAAGGCTCACGATGAGGAGAAGAAACTTAAAGAAATTAACTTTATCAAAAACATTGAAGCGCAAAACAAGCGATTGGATCTCCTGGAATCTTCCAAGGAAACAGAAGGAAGACTACAAGACTTGGAGCAGGAAAGACAAAAGAGGGTTGAAGAAAAGCTGGCCAAAGAAGCTGCTGTGGAGAGGCGTCGCCAAGCTCTTGAAAAAGAACGGTTGCTAAAGCTTGAGAAGATGAATGAGACGCGACTCGAAAAGGAGCAAAGGATTGGCAAGATGCAGGAGCAGAAAGAGAAGCAGCGACAGGCCCTGGCCAGGGAAAAGGCGAGGGATCGTGAGGAAAGACTTTTAGCCCTACAAGTTCAACAGCAACAAACAACGGAAGAATTGCAGCGCAAGATTCTTCAGAAGCAGCTGGAATCTGCTCGCCGCCATGAGGAGAATATCGAACAAATCCGACAAAGGGCTGTGGAGCTAACTATGCCCACCAGGCAGGCGGACGAAGGACGTGGAGATCAGGATGATTCTGAAGACCTGTTAAATGGAAATGGCACGAGCACCACCAATGAGGATGGCGATATGTCTTCTACTCTTTCCGAAGTGGGTGGGATTTCGGGTCATTCGAGGAGCTACAAAAAGAAGATGAAAAAGCTGAAGCAGAGAGATGAGTCAGTGGTAAGTTTAGTGTGATTGGTTAACTTTTAATGATGAAATCAAAATAATTATTGTATTATTTATTTTTTTTTTTTTTGGAATTTTACGGTTGTTAAATTTCTGCTTAATCGTTAAATGATATTGACTGTTGGTTTGGGTTGAATAAGATTTAAAATGTGTTTCGTGTTATTCGTTATAGTAACTTATTAACTGCTTACAGCGCTGCCGAGTATTTGGACAGTTTAGAGCCTTTGCCCCCCTATTTGAAAAGGGATAGTACAGTGCCCAAGCTGTTGAATCTGGTGGTGAAGGGTGGCGGAGCCCAAGGATTGGATAGGAATCTTGGAAATCTATTGCGAGTTATACCCAAGGCTCAGGCTTTTGATTTCCAGGCTTTCCTCTGCATGGATGGTTTGGGTATATTGGCCAACCATGTCATTAGCAAGGGCATGGAGGAAAACTCCGAGATCTCAAGAAAGTACGTTGAGCTTTAATTTTAGCATTTTACATATATTTGTACTTATTAACTTAATATTTTTCTAGGTCCCTTCATTTGGCTGTACAGCTTTATAGGAATGCCTGTTCGGTATGCCCTCAGATTGCTCGTCATGCTCTTCTGGGCAATTCCATAACCGTTCTGTTCGATGCCATCAACAAGAGTTTCCAGGTAATCCTCCAAAGCAGCCGCACACAAAAGAAACTTTTAAAAACTTTTGGCCGCCCAAACTGCTCCACAATAAAAGTGTCGCCAGGCAGTCGTCCCCGCCTTCAGGGGCTATACGTGGGATTGGGGCAGAGGGTTAGGAACAGTCGCAAAAGTTGGCAACTCACAATTCCCCAGGCCACGTCGGATGTCGCCTATGTGTATAATATAAATTCGTACTTGGCTGGCATTATGGTCCTGCCCGGCAGCCACTTAACACTTGGCCGCGTTTATGTCTCTGTCCATCTTAAATCCGCGACAAATGAAAACTTAGTTTGGCGAGGGTCTTTAGAAATTTTGGCAGATCTTGCTGCAAAGTTTTCAAATAGGTGTTGAGGAATATTTTAGGGCACATTTTAGAATGAAAAACAATTTTTAAAGTAAGGCTAACAATTAAGGGTTCATATTCTAAAAACTAACAAACGATTCCAAGATTTTTAGTAGCTGTATTTTGATAAATAATATTTAATTAGAATTTTTTTCTATCTGAAAATAGTCCAAAAGAGCATTTGCAGGTCTATTAGTCTGCAAGACTTATTTGGCCCTGTTTAAAGTTTATGTTTCGCCTCGGCTTTTGTTTTTGCTCGTTTGGCTGGCGTTGTTTATTTGCCATTTCTTTGACGCTTTTATTTGGCGCTGGCTTTTGTTTGTTTGGCATTTTTATTTGAATTTTATTTACTGGCCTCGTGCGCCGCTCGCTCTCTCGCCTGTCGCTTTTGGCCTATCAATTTTTAAGCACTAGGTCGCTACCCTGACAGCCTGCCCTTCCATGGTATCTCCACTTTCTGGGTGATTTTCCCTTTCCTGGCCAATTTGTCAGCGTGTAAAATGTTTATACATTTTGCGGCTGCTGTTAAATCAATCGTTAAATCGTATAAAAAGCCACTCTCCCACCCAATAAATGTTTTTTCCTTATTTTTTATTTTAGTTGTATATGTTTTTCTCGCGGAGTGAAAGGGTATATGAGCACAGCCAGCTAGCAGATGAAAGACGTAAAACCTATTTATTTATCCAGTGAACACTCAAGAATTATAAACAAATTGTTTTTGTAGGTAAACAATTTTTTCTCTAAGTTATTAAGTTTTTTTTTTAAAAATACAAAAGAAAATCAAGAAGCTGGGGAAATTTTAATTTAGGAGTTTGAGTAAAAAGGTATTAACAATTCGGTAAAGTCTTCCTGTTTTTAAAAAGGTATTTTTTGCTCTTTATTTAAATCTATAAAAATATTTTTACTGCGCATCGCACTCTGGAGTTTTTTTGTTGTTGGCACTGTTAACTTGGCTCGTGTTTATTGTCGCTTCCCCCGCCCCTTTTCACCCGTCCCCTCTTGATCGACCACCCCTGTTTTTTTCACCTTCCTTTTTTTCGTTGATGGATCAGCGCGCGCGCCGCTTGTCATGTAATGAGTAAAAAGAAGAAGAAGTAAGAGGAGGAGTAAGAAAGGAAAAACGAAGAAGGCGCAACAGAGTGAAAAAGTTAACTGTAGGTGAGCGAGGGGGAAACATCAATTAACATTTTGATTGATGTGGATGTCTCTGTCTCTCTGTCTCTCCGTCTGTCTGTTGTTTCTGTTTAAATTGATAATTAATTTAAATACCCAGCAAGGAATTTCACTGCTGGCCCCAAAAAGCATGCAACAATTGTGCGTTACCACTTTAATCCGTTAGATTTATGAACTATGGTTTATACGCCAAATATTTACAATAACAATATATTTTTTTAAATATTTAAGAAACTTTTAGTTGCAAGTTTTTTTTTAATAATTTTTATATCGTTGACATATGCTTCTTAATTTATTTGCTGTATTTGTATGGTTTAATGCGAAATCCACAAAGTTTAAAAGTCAATCTTTGTTGGTAAAAATTAATTTATTTATTTAGGGATACATGAGAAAATTCGAAAAAATCTTTGCTTTTGCATTAATATTTGCACATCGAAACGTTCTCCTTTGCAATCAAGTCGTGCGTATAAACGAAGACTAGGTTTTTCTAACTTCTTTTCGATCTTTTGCAGTTACCCGAAGAAAAATCACCACAACATCCGGTCGAGTTGTCCACGGAGCTAATGCTGGCCTGTACGGAGGCGCTGTCCTCGAGTTACGTGAAGAAGAACACCCACCCAAAGGTTCCGGAACGCCTGCCGGACATGATAAAGTGAGTACAACAACAAGTGCAACTACGCCGGTTTATTGCGGCCAACTAAAAAAACTTCGAATGAAAATAGGGGAAATTCCGTGAGTTCGAAAAACGAGTTCGAAAACCCATATGAGTAAAAGAGAGATAGTAATTGTATTCGAGGGTATAGCTATCTCGTTTGCACACTTGAGAGGGCGTGTCTGCGCAAGAGTGGGACAACAAATGCGTTTGCCCAGCCTGCGGCTACGTCGCTGTTGCTGCGCTGCCCTCGGCACCGCGTTTAAAAATTATTATTTTTAATTTTAACTTTTATCTAGTTGGTCACACTGATGCACAGCATATGGGTCGCCAACGCAATATTTTGGGGTCAAATTTTTGAAATTGGTTGTAATTTGAATTGAATTTGTTAATTTTTACCCACTCAAACTGTATATTTATACGTTAAAATAAATTATCTATTTTCCTTTAAGACTTAAGCTTTATTTAAGGCATAAGTGAGCAAACTTATTTTCTTATAAAAAAAGGTTCAAAGAAAGGTTAAATGTATCTTTTCAACCCACGAAATTGAAATATTTTGTACTAAATTCCTGTTACTTGAATTATTAATGAACTTTCATCAATATTTAACAATTTAATGTTCTTCGCCTTTCGTTTCCCTTTTTTCGTGCTTTAATTTCAAAATCCGGAAACTTTAATGTCCAGCTCGGAGATTCTGGTCCCAACCGACTCCTTCCCCCTTTCGTCAGTTTGTTTTCCTTTAATTTGCGTTCATTTTTGTGGGTAAAACTTTGACGTTGACTTTGTTATTGTTGACGTTTCTATAGCTTCCAAAAATAGACTCCATTTTGTATAACTTTGTGCAGAGTAAAAAGGGATTTAAATTTTAGAAAAAAGGAAGAACTTTATTATTTTGTTTATTTTTTAAAGACATAAATTTCGCATCCATCTTATTTTTCACTGCATAGTTTGTTGGTATGTATCAGTTAGTTTTGTGTGTGTTTGTGTTATCCTTTCATTGTTACATAAAAAAAAAACTTTGTTGTTATGCATTTTTCAATTGAGAATTGGCTTTTGTTTGTTACATTTGCGTTTGTTTTTGTTTCGGTTTTTGCTAGCCAATTTTTTGTGTTGGCTTTCCTTGTGTGTGCTGTGCGGCTTTTGTTTATCCTTTTGTGTGTGCTCTGGGCTCTGACCAATTTTCTGCCTTTTCCTAGCTGTTTGCTGTTTATTTTTTCATCATCCATTTTGTTGGTCGCCGCTTTTTTTACGTTCTTTATCAATTTTCGTTTGTTTATATTTTCAATTTGCTTACAAAAGCTTTTCGTTTATTTTATTAGCCAGCCATTGTTGTGTGTTTTTTTTCCCGTCACTGTGTCTCCTTTGCAGCCTTTTGTGGTGGCCGTTGCTGCTGCTTCTGTTATTTTGTATCCTTATTCTTTGGTTATTCGCCTTTATTCCTTCGGCCATTTTTCGTAGCGCGCTTTTCTGCGCTCAATTCAATTACAGCGTTTGCAAAATCAAATTTTCTTTTGACTATAATTTTTGGGGGAAACCAACCCCCGCGACCTGCCGACTCTCGTGTTTTATGCCCTGCACCTTGCGCCATTTTGCCTTGAAAATAAATAAACTTGGTTGAATGGGAAACTCAATTCGCCGCACTTCAATGGTCCGCCATCTTGCAGTGCTTCCTGTTTCCTCATTCTTTCTGGCCACGAAGAATTTTGCCATTTTCCGGCTTCCTAATTCGATTGCAGCTTTCTTTCTTGCTCCTCTACGTGCTGCTTTTTGTCGGATATATAATTAAATTTTTGTTTACTTTTAATTGTTCAGGTGGGGGGAGGAGTTTCGAATATTTTGTTTTTAATTTGAATAAAGTTTTCGAGGAGTCGTGTAATCGAATTAAAGTTGACAAAGAGGAACTTTTATTTCTAGACAAGGGTTTTTCTTCTTCTGAGTAGAGCGAAACTTTTCCAGCAACTAGGAAACTTCTGTTGAAAGATTTTCGCTATTAGAGTTTGGCTTTCTAAGAGAAAAACTCCATTTAAAAAATATCAAAGTTTGTACTTTTATAATTAAATTGCAATTTGTTTTGTTTAAAAATTAAGAAAAGCACAGAACTCACAAAAAGTATGTTTTCCCTATCATTAATCATAAAACGAAAATTTCTACTTAAATTCTGTTTACCCAAATATCCAGCTTGGCTTTGAATAAACCAAAGTCCTTAATATAAATCGTGTCCTCCCACCATCTACCATGTCATTCCCATTCTAAAACCATGATAAATTTGATTTGCCTCGCTCTGGCACCTTCACATCACACAAAAAAGCTACGCGAAGATGTATGAGATATCTTTTTACAATGTAATTGATTCATAATTAATCAACACAGTCATTAGCCTGGCTGGTAAAAAATGGGAAGTAAATATATTTTAATCACGATTTGATCATCAATCCCAACAAAAGAAAAGGAGGCACATCGCAATCATAACGATGATTTGGCACGCGATAAAGCAAACACCCCTAGGAGCGGAATCGAAACCAGAAACTCAAACCCGAATCCAAACCGGAACCCCTTTACCTTGCCACCCCTAAAAAGCAGTCATAATGAAATATGCATATATTTCTTTGGGTGTAGGGTAAAAAAATCTTTTCGATATTCCCCAGCCGCGTGCTCGTCCTTTGGCTTGTCTGCCGTTGCTCCTGCGGCTGTTGTTTCCATTGGCAGGATGTCAACAAGGACGACATGCTGGCAGAGTTACTTCCGCCTGCTGCTGCTGCTGTGCGGCAGTTAATTTAATTACCCTTTAAGTAACCAGATCGAATGGCCAATTTGGAGTTATGGCCAGCCGAGGACTTGGAGCTGCTGCATCCACATCCTGCAGGATGTTCGCATGCATGGCTCTGAGTGTGTAAGTTTTTGTGGCCAGCACTTTGCAATTGACATTGTTTTCAAGGCTCCACTGAAATAAAAAAGGAGTACAATGATCGTTTTATTTATTATTAAAGTAAAACATAATGAAAAATAGTACAATTTTAATGTATAAAACATGGAAATTAAGTAGTTGGCTTAAGTTCTTTATCATGTTTTTTGTCATTACATTACATATTATATTCTTCCAGTGCCAATAAAACCTTTTGGCTCAATTACAAGGACAGTATCTGGCATCAAAAAACACACTTGCACACTCACACACCCACCACACACACACGTGTCTCAGGGTTTTATTTTACCATCGACATATTAGTGAAACTATTTAGACCTTAAACTAGACAGCAGCCCATCCGACCCCTTTGATAGACCATAGACCTTTGACTCTCCTATCTGGTCAAATGTATTAATTTCATTCTTGGTCCTTTGTCCTTTGTCTTCGCTGCTCTTCACTCTTATCGCTGTCTCTCACTTTTTTTTCGGAATATATCCTTCTACGTCTCCTGTTTCTCCTCGTTTTGTTTGTTGGCTTTTTTTTATGTGCAGCGTTTAATATCCGATTTCAGTTTTTCCCCCTCGTCTCTGTTGATTCTTTTTGACAAAAGGCTGAGCATAGGGAAAACTCGGCTCAGTTGCTGTCTCTTTCGCTTTGTTTGGCTTTGGCGAAGTTTCCTATTTGCTCAGTGCGCCGCTCCTTTTGTTTGTCCCTCGCCCTTTCCAGTTTTCATTCCCACCCCCGCTTGAGGGAAAATCAAAATATTGACTCTTAACGGTGTGTTTATTGATCTTTCAGCTACCCCCCGAAAAAAGTGGGAGTGGGAGGTAGAAAAATTCGGAAAGTAAGTGGAAGGTGGCCTTAAATTTTATTTTGAAAGTGCGTTGTTTCTTAACAGAGGGAAATCTATCAATGAATATTAAGAAATCAAATGAAAATTAAAAGAAAAGTCAGAAATTTCGTGGTAGTTTTTAATATTTAAAATATTCTATGTCTTCAAGAAGGTTGAAGTTTTGCACCTACTTTAATGAAATGAAATAAAATATTAAATAACACACCCAGTATTGAAGTAACAGAATTTCAATAGCACACCGACCACCTGCCAGCTTTTTGCATGTCATAATTGAATTCAAATCACAAAACTGTCACACAACTAATCAGAGTTGTCATCTCACCCCGACCCTCGCCCCGGAAAACTCCTCTCCGCCTTCTACTGACTGGTAGTCAACTGCTCAACTGGAGCTCAGTTTCAATTTCTATTTCAGTTTCAGTTTTCGTTTTCAGTTCTCGTTGCTCATCTGTTCGTTTCGACATTCAAACTGTCAAAAAGTCAGCATCAATTACAGTTACAAAGACATCATAGGAAAACCCCTGCACAAAAACCCACACAAATATCCTGAAATTGTCGCAGTATGAGAGTGCAGGGGCGTTGGTTTTCTAGGGGGGTGTGGCAGAAAATAGTGAGGGGTCAAGGGTTAGGGTAGCAGCTCAAAAGAAGTGTAGCCCAAAACTTCGCTGTATATTTGCATCAAAATGCATTTGGCCATAAAGGACTCAGAAAAAAAAAAACTAGATTTTGGAGGGCAGCTTGAAGATTTGTGGGAGAAATTTTAGTGGTAGAAAGAGTTATGCTTTAGGAAATCTTTTTTGTTACGTATTAAATGACTTGTTTTTTATTTGTAGGTTTTTAAAATACTTTTTAGTTGAAGTAAAAGTTTGCCATTTCAGACATAAGTTTCTCAAAATGGTCAGATATTTTAGAGTGGACCCTCTTCTCGCATAACAAGAAGAGGTCATATGCAAAAGTCTGACATATGCGCTGACATTTTGCATGCAAAAAGGCAGCAGCAGCAGCATCAGCAGCCTCAGCAGCTATGTCCTTTTCCTGTCCATCCTCCCTCCACTCCTCCTCCCTGTCTCTCGTCGAGCTGCATGTCAAAAGTTTGATGAGTGCCTGTCCAGCTCCGCCGCATGTCAAAGGATGAACGAAATGTAGAGGGTAGATGGATGAGGTACGAGCGGTACGGCTTTTGGCTATTGAATTACCTACAGGCTCAGTTCGAGGCTGAGCCACTCCTTGTTTGAGTGCATTCGC